AAGGGTTAACAAAGTTTGTTAAAAGTTATCAATAGTTGTTATTACATTTGATGAAAATATCTGGGTTGGGACCATGAAAAATGGATACAGTAGGTATACAAAAATTGAAAATTAATCAAAATAAAAACATAAAATCTCTAAAACTGGACCTAATATGAAAAATCCCGAAACGCATATTCATTTTTTTGTATACTGTATCCATTTTTTTATGGTCACAAGTTGGGACCATAAAAAATGGACTCCCAACTCAGATATTTTTTTGGTGCACAGTGTAATTAATTACTATTTTTAATAGTAACATTAAATTTCATAGGGTTTTGATAAGAATAATTCAAAAAGTCTGGTATTTTTTGTAACGGTCGCTGCGTTCTTTCTTTAAAGCAAGTGGAATCTTTTATTAATGTCCATTTTAAGGCCTTTTCATGATTTAAAATTTTAACTTCATAAGTATACAATTTGGGGTTTTCATTGGAGCAAACCAATTCGACAGACCAATAAACATTAGAAGACAAATAATAAGACGATATTCTAAATAATTTTGAATCAAACAGCATCCATTTAAGGCGTGCATCGTAATTTATGTTTTCTCCAGTATATTTCTCATTCCCATGTTCAGTCTTTAAATGTTTCAAAATAAATTCAAAGTTTCCAGTTTCAGAGCAATCCATTGGACATTGATAGATATGTAAAGGACATGTTTCTTCATGTTTCCTTAATTGACTTTCAATGTCAATTTCATTGCATCCCAATTTACTATATTTGCATGGATACTTGATTTTTAAATGTGGGACATTCATTTGTTAGTTCTTTGCATATTATGCAAATGCTATGTCCGTTGGTGCAATTATAAATTGGCGGTCGCATGGTATTCATACAGACTGGACATTCCAATAGTTTTAATGTATTATTGTCGATCTCTGCAGGTTTTAAGTCAAATTCGTTTAAAATCATATTTTTTTCGTCTGCGAAAGGTTTCAACTGATCGATGTCCACCACAGTCGCGTTGGGGTTTTTATCCAGGTTTTCTTCGTTATAAAAACCATTCAGTTTTGTAAGTGTTCCTACTGTTTTTAATACTGAATGGTTTGGTGTTTGAATACGTTTGTGCTCCACCGAGTATTCCATATTTTTTTCTGACTTTTCAACCGGATTTAAAGCGTAATAAAATTTATCATCAACAACTGAAGTCTTTAGAAGGCAATTTTGGTAATCATCAGATAATAACTTCACGTTGAAAGGTTCAGACAAGGACGACTCAACTTTAAAAATATTATTTTCACTTTTAACGACGTGCTTTTGATGATTTTCCAATAAATGATCGCTCACTTCGAAATTGCTTCCACTCCAATCACAACCCTCCAGATTCTTCATCGGGCACGGTTTAGTTTTGAAATCGCAAGTAGCAATGTGCTTGGAGTACTTTTTGGACTCCATACTCTTACCGCAACCACTGGACTGATATTTGCACGGCAAAATGAGCTTGGCCATAATTAGGATGAGGGCTGTGTTTAATTCAGCCCTGGACTTCATTTCCTCCCCACACTTTTCTTCAAAACAGTTCGCACACAAATTTCCTTTACCTTTGACCAGGAAAACATCGGACGTGCAAAGCTCATCGCAAATCTGGCAGTGGAATATTTTTTCTTTTAAAAGATCGTCAGTAAACTGATCCATCGTTTTGGTGGCCATATCGTCTGCAAATAAAATGTTATTTAGAAAAACTTACTTGGTTAATAATTGTGGACATATAATAGAACACGCAAATGTTGTTTTAAGTTTTTGGACTTTTATTCTCTTAGAGAAAACAAATCTTAATAATTTTCCAAATTAGCTAACTTTGCCCTCCAAAATCATGAGGTATGTAGAGGGATAAATCAAAATTTGATATTTTCAGGAAATGTAGTCACACTTTCTATAGTCAGTAAAATCACACCACAACCATCAAAACTTTTACAATAGGAAAAAGTTGTAGTTCAACAAGAAAGATTATAAAAATGACACAGCTTCGCATTTTAGATTTGTATATCTCGAAAGGTTAAAATCCAAACATTCAAAAGGAAGCGTTTTTTTGTATTTGATACCTAAAGGATCTTCCTCAATTTTTTTTATTAAAATCTTAAACCATACACCACAACGATTGGACTTTTTCATATGGAATGACTCTATAAACAAGCTGCACTACTTATGGTAACCATAAGTTACATAAAGGTTGTCAAGGTATGTAAAAAAAAACAAGTTTTTATAAAATCACCATTTAGTTTGCAAGTTTTATAGTAGTCATATAAAGTTACTGTAACCTCTGGGTATATAATTAGGTTATATAATTGTTACTACAAACATTTTATGTAACCTAAAGTAACTGCTACCAGGTTCATATAACTATAAAAAGTTTTATACAGTTTTTCAATTACCTGTTTTATAAAACTATTGTGTCCTTATTTAGTTATTTATTATTTAAGTGCTTAATAAAACAAAAATCTTTGGTAATTGAAAAAATATATTTAACGACAGTTACTACAATTTATATAAGAGTTTTAAAATCATATAATAACACTAAAGTGTAACCTTGATACTACCATAAAATTTAACTAACACCGTAGGTAATTTTATATAAATATAAAATTACCATAACCTATAGCTATATAATAAATAGCTATAGCTTATGGTAATTTTATATATTATATAAGAGGCCTTAGTGCCAATCAAGCATAGTTCTGGCCTTTTGACCCCTTTAATATTAATATTTTAAGAGATTTACGAAATTAAGTCATGAAATTTAAAAATAATAATAATATTTATATTAACAATGTTTTTAAACTCATTTTATTTTTTAAGTGCCAAAAACATTTGAAATTTGTATAATATTTAAAGAATATATCAAAAATTTTATTGACTTCAAATATTATATGTACCTATATATTATATGTTATAGGTACTATTCTTGCTGGAGTTTAATTTTACTACAAAAATGTATTAAAAGTCAACAGTTTACAGCAAAAAAATTGTTTAAGTTTTTTATCTAAAAAACCTTGAATTGAGTAGCAATGTGGATAAAGTTGTCACAGACTGCTTCTCGGAAAAAAATCTAATAGTATCTCATGGGGAATCCCCCAAGTTTATCCATAGCCTTGGGGGCTTCAATATATAAAATTTCTAACATTTAAAGACAACATTTTAATTTTTAAACATAAACTTACGATTTATTGTATTGACATTCTTCCGGTTTTGTTATAACCATAAACATGGACAAATTGAAAGAGAACCACATAAAAAATGAAATTTGATTTGATTTGATTTGATAGCGCCTCCCAAATAATAAACAAACATGCATAAACCTTACCTTAAACCAAAACTAGAAACAAATGTTTTTCTTCGAAAACCAAAGCTGCAAGAACACAGGAAATATACTAACACTCGATAAAAACGACTTGTCAGCTGAATGGTGTGATAAACACAGCGTTGCCAAATGTCAATTGATCCATTAATCGTAATGAATCATTATAATGCAAAATTTAAGGAAGTTTTTTGAAATATTTCAATATTAATATAAGTAAAACATTCAGTATTTAGTGGACGATATTTTGTAAATATTAATCATTTGATTAAATTTATATTTATACGCTTGACAACTATTAGGCAACAAATTATACATTAAATAAATGCTTCCACTTCAAGGGGCCGCATATAAATCTCGTGACGCTAAAAATGGTCAAAATTGTATTTTAAGTTAGGGTACCCTGATTGTATTTTTAAACTACAACAAAACAGTTATTCTTTCTCTAAAAGAATAATTACTTAAAATACCTATCTTTTATTAATAATATCGATGAACAGTATAATTACAGCTGTATAAATTACAAACCAACCGCCGTTATCTAAAAAAAAACGTGAGCGAAAGATGTTTTTTTAAATTCGAATACGTTTATAAAGTATATGCAACACACTATACAAATCATAAAGAAAGGTAGCGCCATCGCTCGGGGACTTTTTAAACGAAAAAAGTTTTATATCGAACTTCGCATGGTGCCAAATTCAATATATATAAAACTTTTATTTTTAATATATATGCAAAAATGTAGTAAATTTTACTTATATATAGTTTTTCCTGCAAAATATTTTATATATCGTACGAAATAATTATGGAACACATGGCGCCCCATAATCTTCAACTTCAATCTAATCTGACTTATCCCACAAAATTTTCCAATTTTACTTTTTATGAAATAATGTAATAAAACTTATGGTATTATATAGAGGTCAAATTGTTTATTTAATATTTTTAAATAAATATATTTCACTGTCATATTATGACAGAGGCGTATTTGTCTCCTAAAGAATTTTACGAATGTAGATTACAACATATTAGAACGTGGGTATCTGACATATTTGGAAATATTCTCAAAAGCTTCCTAGAAGCTCCATAAGAAACCTTTTAAGAACATTCCAAAAACGTATTCTTAAAATGTTCTTAGGATGCTTTTTAGGAAGGTTTTAAGAAGCTTTTAAGAATCTAATTGCATCATTAAAAGGGTATCTATTGAATGTTTTAAAAGTCCCTCAGAACATTCTTAGCAATAAGGGAAGGTTCTAAGAATATTCCATTATTCCGGGTCATATCTTCTTAGAAGATTCTTAAAATTAAATTTTGCTATCAAGCTTAGAAAAATGGTGGATAGATGGCGTCACCTTACGGACACATTTTCTGCTAATACGTTAGGCACAGATATTCTTATCCGGTTGCATACCTTCCCATATCATTCATGGGCGATTTTTGAAATACTAATATCGGTTTTCACGAACAAATTGGCCTAGCAAATTTTAAATAATTTAATCCAGATTTTTATAAATACTTATCTGTTGGATAGAATGGGTTTAATAAATATTCATACATGTATTTAGTGTAGACTTTTTATTTAAATATAATATAGCTAGTGAAATAAAATAGCTAAAACACAGAACGCATATACAACATTTCTATAACTAGACCTGATATGAAAAAATCATTTTTTTGGTGCAAAATTACTTTTTTTAATAGTAATATTAAATGTTATCGGATCTTGATCATAATAATTCAAACAGTCTGATATTTTTTGTAGAGGTCGCTGCGTTCTTTCTTTAAAGCAAGTGGAATCTTTTATCAATGCCCAATTAAATGCCTTTTCGTGATTCGAAATTTTAACTTCGTAAGTGTATAATTTGGGGTTTTCATTAGAGCAAACTAATTCGACGGCCCAATAAACATTGGGAGACGAAAAATAATAAGATATTCTGAATAATTTTGAATCAAACAGCATCCATTTAAGCTTTTCGCAACGACCAGGTATGTTTTCCTCTATCTCTCCAGTGAATTCCGCATTCCCATGTTCAGTCATTATATGTTCCAAAATGAATTCAAAGTTTCCAGTTTTAGAGCAATTCATCGGGCATTGATAGTTATGCGACGGACATGTTTCTTCGTGTTTCTTTAATTGCCTGTCGACGTCAATTTCGTTGCATCCCAATTTACTATATCTGCATGGATACTTGACTGTTGTAGTTAAGTTTTCTATAAGGTAATTCCTTGCAGTGGTCCACCCTTCGTTACACATGGGGCATTCATTTATTAGTTCTTTGCATAATATGCAAATGCTATGTCCGTTGGCGCAATTAAAGATTGGCGGTCGCATGGAATTCATACAGACTGGACATTCCAATAGTTTCAATATATTATTGTCGATTTCTGCAGGTTTTAAGTCGAATTCGTTTGAAATCATATTTTTTTCGTCCGCAAAAGGTTTCAACTGATCGATGTCCACCGCAGTCGCGTTGGAGTTTTTGTCCAGGTTTTGTTCGTTATAAATACCATTCAGTTTCGTCAAAGTACCTACGCTTTTTAATACCAAATGGTTTGGTGGTTGAATACGTTTGTGCTCCACTGAGTATTCCATATTTCTCTCGGACTTTTCAACCGGATTTAAAGCGTAATAAAACTTATCGTCAACAACCGAAGTCTGTAAAAGGCAATTTTGGCAATCATCATATAAAAACTTTACGTTGAAAGGTTCAGACAAGGACGACTCAACTTTAAAAATATTATTTTCACTTTCAATGACGTGCTCTTGATGATTTTCCAATAAATGTCCGCTCACTTCGAAATTGCTTCCACTCCAATCACAACCCTCGAGATTTTTCATCGGGCACGGTTTAATTTTGAAATCGCAACCACGAATGTGCTTGGAATAGTTTTTGGACGTCAACCTGTTGTCGCAACCTTTCATTTGAAACTTGCACGGCAACATTAGCTTGGCTATAATTAAGATGAGGGCTGTGTTTAATTCAGCCCTGGATTTCATTTCCTCCCCAAACTTTTCTTCGAAACAGATCGCGCACACATTTCCTTTACCTCTGACAAGGAAAACATCGGACGTGCAAAGCTCATCGCAAATCTGGCAGTGGAATATTTTTTCTTTTAAAAGATCGTCAGTAAACTGATCCATCGTTTTGGTGGCCATATCGTCTGCAAATAAAATGTTATTTAGAAAAACTCACTTGGTTAACAATAATAATTGTGAACATATAACACAGGCCGACAAAAATAAAATTTCTGTTTGGTGCATGGCAACCAACAACTTTTTAAGGGTAATTTGGGTACGCTGAATCCAAAAATGACCATCATTTTGCTCAATCAGCTCTTGTTTTTGCGATGTAGAATAAAAACCATTTTTTTCGATATGCGCACATTCAAATTCTTATATATATTTTTTAAATCTCTAACTTAAGCAAGGATAGTTGGTAATGTTGCTATGAGTCTTTATTAAACTAAAAAAAATACCATATACATTGATACTGGTATTCTCTTTAAAAACTTGCTTTCATCGAAAGAAAATCGATTTTTTAGCCAAAATTCGGATATTTTTAAAATTCAAAGTGATACAGCATGATAAATTTTTGTCCGATTTAAATAAAATTTACCCTATTTGTAGCTCTATTTATCTACTTTATAGTGTTAAAATTTCAATGCAATCAAAAATTGAATTAGAGTAGTGCTGCCGTGCTAAGCTAACCCCCCGTATCTGCAATATTAAATAAAAGATCATTTTCATTGTTAAAAACAATAAAAACTATCTTTTGTCCTTTATTATTTAATATTGCAGATACGGGGGTTTAGCTTAGCACGGCAGAGTGTATGATAGTAAAGTATTGAGAGCAGCAGCAGATACTCTATAGAGTATACTCACATTCTCATGCACTAAAACTAATAGAAAAAAAACAATAATCTTTTTATTAGACATACTTAAAATCAGGTCTAAAATCCCAGGCACAAAAATTGTCCACTTAAATAGGCTCTCTGAATATTAATAGCTATTCACGGAGTTTATATAAGTGGTACACGTAGTACCCAATTTTGGTTGATTGTATTGCCATGTTGCCAATTTTTATTTGATTGCATTGAAATTTTATCACTATAAAGTAGATAAATAGGGCTACAAATAGGGTACATTTTATTTAAATCGGGAAAAACTTGATCATGCTGTATCACTTTGAATTTTAAAAATTTCCAAATTTTGGCTAAAAAATCGATTTTCTTTCGATGAAAGCAAGATTTTTAAAAAGAACACCATTATCAATGTATATGGTATTTTTTTTAAGTTTAATAGCAACATTACCAACTATCCCTGCTCAAATTAGAAGTTTAAAAAAATATATTTAAGCATTTGAATGTGCGCATATAAAAAAAATGTTTTTTTGTTACATCGCAAAAACAAGAGCTGATTGAGCAAAATGATGGTCATTTTTGGATTCGGCGTACTCAAATTACCCTAAAAAGGTAGTTGTCTACCCTGCACCAAAATGGCTGTCGGCCAGTGTAATAGAAGACTTTTATTCTCTTGGAAAAAAAAATCTTGGAAAAAAGTTTTCAAAATTAGCCAACCTGCCCTCCAAAATCATGAGGTATGTATGTTTTTTCATTTTGGACCAATATGTTTTTCCAAAACAAGCATTTATCCCATGGCTATGGGATATAATTTTTTAAATGCTTGTTTTGGAAAAACATATTGGTCCAAAATGAAAAAACACTTTCTATAGTCAGTAAAATCAAACCACAACCATCAAAACTTTTACAATAGAAAAAAGTTGTAGTTCAACAAAAAAGATTAAAGATTAAGGTTAAAATCCAAACATTTAAAAGAAAGCGTTTTTTTGTATTTGTATCATGATACCTAAAGGATCCTATTTTTTTTATTTAAATCTTATAATTAGGTTATATTACTGTTTCTACAAACATTTTATATACCTAACCTATAGTAACTGTTACCAGTAGGTTTATATAAATTTATTAAAGTTTTATACAGTTTGCGCTTACTTGTGTTATAAAACCATATTTTTTTATAAAAAATGTGAGTTATTCATTATTTATGTGCTAAATAAAACAAAAATCTATATTTTTAGTTAAAAATTATGACAGTTGCTACAATTTATACAACAGTTTTAAATATATAAAATAACATTTTAAGTAACCTAGATACCACTATAAAACTTAACTAACACCTTGGGTTGTATAAAATTACCATAAGCAATATAAGAGGCCGTAGGGTTGATACAATATTTCCGCCATGATAGTTTTTTTATAAAATAAATGTAAATCGATTTTTATTACAAAAACAACTTAATTGACCAAACAAGCGTAAACAATTTAACACTTTGTTTATGATTAGCAAAATAAAGATTTTCAACTCTTAATGTTTTCTTAAAAAAATTATGCGTATATATTTTTAATAGTATAAGTAATATACTTTTTGTACTAAGTAATTTTCATTGATAACAAAACTTATTATATCCTCACTTTTCCCCGATTTTAAAGATCATTATAGTCGCCCCTCGTATAATATACGACGTATATACATACATATAAACAAATCTGTTAACCTTACTTTAACGCAATTTAAAACCCGATTGGTTAAAATAACAGTGAATTTTGAAATAAGCCAATCACTGATGCATAACAACGGTTTTGTTATAAACATAAACGTGGACAAATCGAGTGAGGGTATATTAAACTGTTTTAAAAGGTGGAAAATAAAATTTGATTTGATAGCGCCTCACAAATAATAAACAAACATGCATTAAAACTTACCCTAAACCAAAAGAAGAAACTTTGAAATAGATGCAACAACACAACAACACTCGATAAAAACCTAGAGATTGTAAAAGAACCATAGAAAAAGAATTTATAAACGAATTGTTACCTGAAACATTCAACGAATTGTACCTGCAGGTACATAAACATAAACATTCAAGCTGAATGGTAAACACTTTTTATTAAACAGTGTTGCCAAATGTCAATGGATTAATCGTAATAATGCAAAATTTAAGGAAGTTTTTTGATATATTGCAGTATCGGCCAATATTTTGTGAATATTAATCATTTGATCTATTGTATTGATTAAATTTATATTTATACATTAGGCAACATTTTATACATGAAATAATACAAATTAGATACTTTTCTGTTGCGGAAGTGATTGGATGGACACTTTTTGCTATGTTTTTTTTTATTTTTAGTTGCTGGGCCCAACGAATGGAACATGCGTACGAGAAAGATTTGTCATTTCCGGCCAAAATGTTAACAGTCAGGTTCCAGTTTTATGCGGATACAACACCGGGCAACACAGTAAAGCCTGATTTATAGATTGTCCTCCTTCCTTCCTCCCGTAAAAAATGTACAATACGAAAACCGTAGTGCCGTTTATAGATTCCCGTACGGGATTGTATTGTTTATCTTCTACGGGAGGAGGAAGGCAATCTATAAATAAAATCCAACAAACAATTTAAAATTTAACTTTTTAGTTTACGTGGATGTTTCCATGCTGTCTGGACCTCTTAGTTTATCTGTGCTATCAACCATAGTATCTAGAAAACGTTGGAGAATTCGGGTTTGCCAGTTTGAAAACAGTTGCACGACGTCAAATTGCCTGCAGTACTTCACCGGAACTTCCGGGGTAATCACTTCCTTTAACTACGACCAGGCGTCAATGTTTAATAGAAGTACCACTCAGTATTTGGTGGGTATTTTTTTTAAAATATCGCATTGAGATTGTGTTTCGCAATGCAACGTTGCCACACTAAATTTCATATTTTTAGAATAACCTGAACTATGCAATATGTATACGGAAGGAAGCTGGATATTGTTCTATAACTTACACGAATGTAAGAAATGGGGTGGAATATCCTTTTCAACTAAATAATGTAAATAGTTGTAAGTATTTGTTTTCTAAATAAAACGCTATAAATACTTTAAAACCGCCTTCCTTAAAACTACTTCTTTATGTTGGCGGAAGTGCTAGAATAAAAAAACATTGAACACTTTTTTTTGACGAAAAACTGCACCAAACAGTTCTGGTCTACTCTATGCAAAAACATCTGCAGTTTTAAGGACTTTTGGAGGATGCGGAACTTCCGCCACCCACTCTCCTCTTCTGGCGACATAGATTATCTATAGGCTCTCCCCACCCTTCACTACGTTAAAAAAAAATAATTTAATGAAAATATATTTATATGAATACAGTGTTGAAAATTTACCATTTTTTAGCTGGAATAAGGACAGTTCCGCAAGGACAAGCTGGGGCAGATGTTATAAATTGTCCAAATGATTATATAATTTTGGATGGTTCCAGGCTATGTGGTGATAAACTAAATGATGGATTGACCATCAGGAATTTTACATTAAATGCGCCCATTACTGGTAAATAGGTGTTCTGTCGTTTAAATTAAGAAGAAGAAAGAACTTCATTTTAAAGTCTGAGAAAAAGGCGCAAAAATCAAGTCGTACTTAAAAATTATAACATCCGCATCCGTATCTGCAGATGTTGACTAATTCTTTTACATTGGACGGCAGAATAGCGAACTAAATATTTTTTGTTGATATGCTAAAAAAATGTGATAACTAATTTTAATTTTTTTTTACAGATTCTAGTGCAGGTCCCATTGTAATACCTGTAATGACGGACGGTAGCCTAACAGGTTTAGGGTTTAAAATATTTTACACCCTAAATAGATGCCCTACGGTATAGAATCCAAAATATACAGGGTTCCCGAAAAACACTTAAACTAATTACCCAATTCCAACATTGCTTTGTTTTTTCCTAGTTTTAGTAAATAAATTATTTATTTTGCTATTTAACCCAAGTATTTATTTGTAATATTAACAAAACAACAAATTGTAAATAATAAAAACCAGTTAATTTGAAACACATTTTTCTTTAATTATGATTTACCCCACCTATTAACAACATTAGACCTGGCAACGCTGCCGCTAACTTCACGCTATTGCCAACCTAACGATTTCTAGTTGCCAACCATATAACAAATATAATAACCAGCACTTGTTGACTTCTGCTTAAAGCGGAGAGATTAAAAATCGGTATTATAATAGTTCAAGAATAATTGACCATATACAAGGAATGCGGTCGATGTTGCCAATGGTAAAAAAATAAAATTCCCTATTTGGAACATTCAATTATATTACGTTGGCTACATTGAAAATTTGAATTTCCCGCACAAACTAAATTAATTTCCATCTTTTTTTTTTAATAATAATAAATAATAATAATTCCCACATTTGAAATTCGCACCTTAATTTATTATACAACATTGGAACTACCTTCTTTATCTCTGGGAACTACTAAAATGTATGTCAGTTTGTGCGGGAAATTCAAAATTTTAGTGTAGCCAACGTAATATAATTGAATGTTCCCAATAGGGAATTTTATTTTTTTACCATTGGCAACATCGACCGCATTCCTTGCATATGGTCAATTGGAAAAAAATTAACCTCATGAGTTGGCCAAATAGCTTTCAAATTAGCTAAAGGCCAGAAAAAGTTTGAATAAAAATCTCTCCATGTAATTCCACATTCCCATGCTTAGTAATTGACCATATGCAAGGAATGCGGTCGATGTTGCCAATGGTAAAAAAATAAAATTCCCTATTGGGAACATTCAATTATATTACGTTGGATACACTGAAATTTTGAATTTCCCGCACAAACTGACATACATTCTAGGAGTTCCCAGAGATAAAGAAGGTAGTTCCAATATTGTATAATAAATTAAGGTGCGAATTTCAAATGTGGGAATTATTATTATTTATTATTATTAAAAACAACATGGAAATTAATTTAGTTTGTGCGGGAAATTCAAATTTTCAATGTAGCCAACGTAATATAATTGAATGTTCCCAACAGGGAATTTTATTTTTTTACCATTGGCAACATCGACCGTATTCCTTGCATATGGTCAATTAAATGTTTTAAAATAAATTTAAAGTTTCCAGTTTCAGAGCAACCCATTAATGGGAAGAAACATGTCCTTTACATATACATATCTATCAATGTTCAATTAAACATTTTTCACTCAGCCCGTGACTAAAAACCTGTTGCTAACTTCAGCCCGTGACTAAAGCGCCGTAAAGCCACAACTTGTTGATGTGTATTTAAAAGGTCACTTAGTGTCATGGAAACATATGTATGTACGATAAAGGGCGTTTTAAAGGTGGGAGTAGAAAAAATAGCTTATATAGTAAAACACAGAACGCATAAGTATTAAATATAATAAAGGATTTACAATACAATACAATACAAAGTTTATTAAAAGATATAAATACCTGTGCGATAACATTTGATGAAAATATCCAGGTTGGGACCATGAAAAATGGATACAGCATACAAAAATTAAAAATTAATTAAAATAAAAACATAAAATCTCTAAAACTGGACCTAATATGAAAAATCCCGAAACACATATTCATTTTTTTGTAAAACTGTATCCATTTTTATGGTCACAAGTTGGGACCATAAAAAATGACTCCCAACTCAGATACTTTTTTTAATAGTAACATTAAATGTCATAGGCTCTTGATCATAATATTTCAAACAGTCTGATATTTTTTGTAACGGTCGCTGCGTTCTTTCTTTAAAGCAAGTGGAATCTTTTATCAATGCCCAATTAAATGCCTTTTCGTGATTCGAAATTTTAACTTCGTAAGTGTACAATTTGGGGTTTTCATTTGAGCAAACCAATTCGACAGCCCAATAAACATTATGAGACAAATAATAATACGATATTCTAAATAATTTTGAATCAAACAGCATCCATTTAAGCCTTTCATAAAAACCATCTATGTTGTTTACTATCTCTCCAGTAAATTCCGCATTCTCATGCTCAGTCTTTAAATGTTTCAAAATAAATTCAAAGTTTCCAGTTTCAGAGCAATCCATTGGACATTGATAGATATGTAAAGGACATGTTTCTTCATGTTTCTTTAATTGCCTGTCAATGTCAATTTCGTTGCATCCCAATTTACTATATCTGCATGGATACTTGATTTTTGAAGTTAAATTTTCTATAAAGTAATTCCTTGAACTGGTCCACCCTTCCTTACATGTGGGGCATTCATTTGTTAGTTCTTTGCATATTATGCAAATGCTATGTCCGTTGGTGCAATTATAATTTGGCGGTCGCATGGTTTTCATACAGACTGGACATTCCAATAGTTTTAATATATTATTGTCGATCTCTGCAGCTGGTTTTAAGTCGAATTCGTTTGAAATCATATTTTTTTCGTCCGCAAAATGTTTCAACAGATCGATGTCCACCACAGTCGCGTTGGGGTTTTTATCCAGGTTTTCTTCGTTATAAATACCATTCAGTTTGGTAAGTGTACCAACGCTTTTTAATACTAAATGGTTTGGTGGTTGAAAACGCTTGTGCCACACCGAGTATTCCATATTTTTTTCGGATTTTTCAACCGGATTTAAAGCGTAATAAAACTTATTATCAACAACTGAAGTCTTTAGAAGGCAATTTTGGTAATCATCAGATAATAACTTTACGTTGAAAGGTTCAAACAAGGACGACTTAACTTTAAAAATATTATTTTCACTTTTAATGACGTGCTCTTGATGATTTTCCAATAAATGTCCGCTCACTTCGAAATTGCTTCCACTCCAATCACAACCCTCCAGATTCTTCATCGGGCACGGTTTAATTTTGAAATTGCAAGTAGCAATGTGCTTGGAGTACTTTTTGGACTCCACCCTCTTATGGCAACCACTGGATTGATATTTGCACGGCAGCATCAGCTTGGCCATAATTAGGATGAGGGCTGTGTTTAATTCAGCCCTGGACTTCATTTCCTCCCCACACTTTTCTTCAAAACAGTTCGCGCACAAATTTCCTTTACCTTTGACCAGGAAAACATCGGACGTGCAAAGTTCATCGCAAATCTGGCAGTGGAATATTTTTTCTTTTAAAAGATCGTCAGTAAACTGATCCATCGTTTTGGTGGCCATATCGTCTGCAAATAAAATGTTATTTAGAAAAACTCACTTGGTTAATAATAATTGTGGACATATAATAGAAGACTTTTATTCTCTTAAGAGAAATTGGAGAAAAAAAATCTTAAAAGTTTTCAAAATTAGCCAACTTTGCCCTCCAAAATCATTAGGTATGTAGAGGGATAAATCAAAATTTGATATTTTCAGGAAATGTAGTCCCAACCTTTATTTTTTCGAACCAGTTAGTCTTGTTCTGTTATTTTCACCTCTATGGGATATAATTTTTTAAATGTTTGTTTTGGAAGAACATATTGGTCCATAATGAAAACACACTTTCTATAGTCAGTAAAATCCAACCACAACCATCTAAACTTTTACAATAGGAAAAAGTTGTAGTTCAACAAAAAAGATTATAAAAATGACACAGCTTTGCATTTTAGATTTGTATATCTCGAAAGGTTAAAATCCAAACATTTAAAAGAAAGCGTTTTTTTGTATTTGTATCATGATACCTAAAGGATCCTATTTTTTTTTATTTAAATCTTATAATTAGGTTATATTACTGTTTCTACAAACATTTTATATAACCTATAGTAACTGTTACCAGTAGGTTTATATAAGTTTATAAAAGTTTTATACAGTTTGCGCTTACTTGTTTTATAAAACCATATTTTTTTATAAAAAATGTGAGTTATTCATTATTTATGTGCTAAATAGAACAAAAATCTTCATATTTTAAATTAAAAAATATGACAGTTGCTACAATTTATATAACAGTTTTAAATATTTAAAATAACACTTTAAGTAACCTAGATGCCACTATAAAACTTAACTAACACCTTGGGTTATATAAAATTACCATAAGCAATATAAGAGGCCTTGGGTTGATACATTATTTCCGTCATGATTGTTTTTTTTATAAAATAAATGTAAATCGATTTTATAAAATAAATGATTTTATAAAATAAATGTAAATCGATTTTATAAAATCGATTTACATTTATTTTATAAAAAAAACAATCATGACGGAAATAATGTATCAACCCAAGGCCTCTTATATTGCTTATGGTAATTTTATATAACCCAAGGTGTTAGTTAAGTTTTATAGTGGCATCTAGGTTACTTAAAGTGTTATTTTAAATATTTTTATAAAATCGATTTACATTTATTTTATAAAAAAAAACAATCATGACGGAAATAATGTATCAACCCAAGGCCTCTTATATTGCTTATGGTAATTTTATATAACCCAAGGTGTTAGTTAAGTTTTATAGTGGCATCTAGGTTACTTAAAGTGTTATTTTAAATATTTTTATAAAATCGATTTACATTTATTTTATAAAAAAAACAATCATGACGGAAATAATGTATCAACCCAAGGCCTCTTATATTGCTTATGGTAATTTTATATAACCCAAGGTGTTAGTTAAGTTTTATAGTGGCATCTAGGTTACTTAAAGTGTTATTTTAAATATTTAAAACTGTTATATAAATTGTAGCAACTGTCATATTTTTTAATTTAAAATATGAAGATTTTTGTTCTATTTAGCACATAAATAATGAATTAAGTTGTTTTGAAATTATAATTTCAAAACAACTTAATTGACCAAACGAACAATTTAACACTTTGTTTATAATTAGCAAAATAAAGATTTTCAACCCTAATTGTATTCTTAAAAAAATTATACGTATATATTTTTAATAGTATAATGTGCTTTTTGTACTCCAAGTAATTTTCATTGATAACAAAATTTATTATAACCTCACTTTTCCCCGATTTTAAAAATCATTATAGTTGCCCCTCGTATATACATATAAACAAATCTGTTAACCTTACTTTAACGCAATTTAAAACCCGATTGGTTAAAATAACAGTGAATTTTGAAATCAGCCAATCACTGATGCATAACAACGCTATTGACATTTTTTTCGGTTTTGTTATAAACATAAACGTGGAAAAATCGAGTGAGGGTATATTAAACTGTTTTAAAAGGTAGAAAATGAAATTTGATTTGATAGCGCCTTACAAATAATAAACAAACATGCATAAAACTTACCCTAAACCAAAACAAGAAACTTCGAAAACCAAAGCTGCAAGAACACAACAACACTCGATGAAAACCCAGAGATTGTAAAAGAACCATAGAAAAAGAATTTATAAACGAATTGTTACCTGAATTATTCAACGAATTGTACCTGCAGGTACATAAACATAAACATTCAAGCTGAATGGTAAACACTTTTTATTAAACAGTGTTGCCAAATGTCAATGGATTAATCGTAATACATAATGCAAAATTTAAGGAAGTTTTTTGATATATTGTAAAACATTAAACACTTATTGGCCGATATTTTGTAAATATTAATCATTTGATCTATTGTATCGATTAAATTTATATTTAATTTATACATGAAATAATACTTTTCTGTTGCGGAAGTGGATGGATGGACACTTTTTGAGATGTTTTTTTTTATTTTTAGCTGCTGGGCCCAACGAATGGAACATGCGTACGAGAAAGATTTGTCATTTCCGGCCAAAATGTTAACAGCCAGGTTCCAGTTTTATGCGGATACAACACCGGGCAACACAGTAAAGCCTGATTTATAGATTGTCCTCCTTCCTTCCTCCCGTAAAAGATGAACAATACGAAAACCGTATTGCCGTTTATAGATTCCCGTACGGGATTGTATTGTTTCTCTTTTATAGGAGGAAAGAAGGCAATTTTTAAAATTCAACAATTTAAAATTTAACTTTTTAGTTTACGTGGATGTTTCCATGCTGGCTGGACCTCTTAGTTTATCTGTGTTATCAACCATAGTATCTAGAAAACGTTGGAGAATTCGGGTTTGCCAGTTTGAAAACAGTTGCACGACGTCAAATTGCCTGCAGTACTTCACCGGAACTTCCGGGGTAATCACTTTCTTTAACTACGACCAGGCGTCAATGTTTAATAGAAGTACCACTCAGTATTTGGTGGGTATTTTTTTAAAATATCGCATTGAGATTGTGTTTCGCAATGCAACGTTGCCACACTAAATTTCATATTTTTAGAATAACCTGAACTATGCAATATGTATACGAAAGGAAGCTGGTTATTGTTCTATAACTTACACGAATGTAAGAAATGGGGTGGAATATCGTTTTCAACTAAATAATGTAAAAAGTTGTAAGTATTTGTTTTCTAAATAAAACGCTATAAAAACTTTAAAACCGCCTTTCTTAAAACTACTTCTTTATGTTGGCGGTGCTAGAATAAAAAACATTGAACACTTTTTTTTTTGACGAAAAACTGCACCAAACAGTTCTGGTCTACTCTATGCAAAAACATCTGCAGATTTAAGGACTTTTGGAGGATGCGGAACTTTCGCCACCCACTCTCCTCTTCTGGCGACATAGATTATCTATAGGCTCTCCCCACCCTTCACTACGTTAAAAAAAAATAATTTAATGAAAATATATTTATATGAATACAGTGTTGAAAATTGGCCACTTTTAGCTGGAATAAGGACGGTTCCGCAAGAACAAGCTGGGGCAGATGTTATAAATTGTCCAAATGATTATATAATTTTGGATGGTTCCAGACTTTGTGGTGATAAACTAAATGATGGATTGACCATCAGGAATTTTACATTAAATGCGCCCATTACTGGTAAATAGGTATTCTGTCGTTTAAATTAAGTAAAAGAACTTCATTTTAAAGTCTGAGAAAAAGGCGCAAAAATTAAGTCGTACTTAAAAATTATAACATCCGCATCCGTATCTGCAGATGTTAACTAATTATTTTACATTGGACGGCAGAATAGCGAACTAAAAAAAATGCTTTTTTATAGTTTCTAGTGCAGGACCCATTGTAATACCTGTAATGACGGACGGTAGCCTAACTGGTTTAGGGTTTAAAATATTTTACACCCTAAATAGATGCCCTACGGTATAGAATTCAAAATATACAGGGTTCCCGAAAAATACTTAAACTAATTACCCAATTCCAACATTGCTTTGTTTTTTTGCTAGTTTTAGTAAAAAATTATTTATTTTGTTATTTAACCCAAGTATTTATTTATAATATTAACAAAACAACAAATTGTAAATAATAAAAAATTAATTTAAAACACGTTTTTTCTTTAATTTTGATCTACCCGATTAACAACTGTAGACCTGGCAACGCCGCCGCTAACTTCACGTTATTGCCAACCTAACGAATTCCCGTGGCCAACTTGACGGTTATCAAAAGAAAGCCGTGTATACAAAAACATAGATTATAAAGAACAAAACATCGAATTTTACTGAATTAAGGCGTTATTTCGACTAAAATGGCTCTAAGAACTTACGGAGATAAGCCTATAAGTTTCCAGCTGGAAGATAATGGAGAGTATTACTGTGTTGGATCTGAGGTAATATTTGTATACTTACAATTGTTGTAGTATGTTTGTTATAATAATTATTGTTCTTTTAAGGTTGGTAATTACCTCAGATTATTCAGGGGGTCTTTATACAAGAAATACCCTGGTATGTACAGGAGGAGCATTACGAATGAAGAAAGAAAGAGGTTAATTGATTTGGGGTTATCCCAACATGTTTTGGCGAGTAGTGTTTCTTTACTAAGAGCCACAGAAGTTGAGGATATAATTGAGGGAAATGATGATAAGTAAGTTAAACAAATTTTTGACGTTTAAGTCCCACTTTGACATTTCAATACAATTAAGTGAGGTTATTTTTCAGTCAGTTTAGTCTTTTTTTCTGAAAATAAATAAAATGAGTGTTGGGAATCTTTTTTACCGGCTTTAAAAATGGCATTGTTGATTTGTCAAATTTTTTTGTAAAATAAATTTTTCCCTTGAAAATGGAATAACATAACAATCTTTTAAATCCAAAGTTCTAATGATATTTTTTGGAATATTTTCTTTATAATTATTGTACCTTTCACCTACAAAATTTTAATATAATTTTATTAACACTCCACTGGAAAATATTTTAACCACAAATTCCTCAAGACATTTAAAAAAAATTATTTTTATCAATTTTCGAAATTTACAAGACTAAGCAAGATTTATTTTACTCATGCAATGAAATTTGAAGTAATTCTTGTTGATTGTTTAGTTTACAAATTAAATCATTGAATTAAATTGAGCAAAAACTATGGCACACCGTTTAAATTTAAAATGTTATTGGTTTAAAATTTTCCCAACTAAAAATTTTAGGTTTACATTTATTTTCAACTATCATGTATTGAAAGATAAAATTTACTAACCAACAGTTCACTTCTGTATTAAACAATATTATTTTCTATCAATTTTTGCAAAAATTTCTAATCATTTTTTAATAAAAATAATTTCCCAAGTATAATTTATTTGCTTGGCATTTTGTTAACTAAAATAAATATTTTATAAAATTATTGAGATTAATTTGGTAAAGTTAATTTTTTTAGTATTTAAAAATAGTATCAAGCCATTTAAAATAAAAACACATAAAATATTTTCTACCAAAATAGTTTAAAAAGTTAAATTTTTGTAAACTAAAAACTATTGATAATCAAAAAATATTTTATATATAAAATGCAACTGCAAAAGTTTAAGTTTAAAAATATTAATTTTTAAAAAATGGAATTTTAATATTTTATTCTTCAAAATTATTGGTTTGAATTTGTAAAGAGTCATTTAAATGATAGTCGATAAATTTTTAATCCAAAAATTACTACTTTAAAAATTAAAACTTACATTTAATGTAATGTGAGAATTTTTGTATTAAAAATTTATCAATCATTTAAATGACTTTAAAAATTTAAACCAATAATTTTGTAGAATAAAATATTACAACCAAAACTTTTAAAAATCAATATTTTTAAACATAAATTTTTACTGTTGCATTTTATATTTAAAATATTTTTTGAATATCAATTGTTTTGAGTTTAAAAAAATATAACTTTATAAATTTCTGTTAAAACATAATTTAAGTGTTAAACTTTTATCTCATAAATGCTAAAACGGCGTGCCATAAAAAACCAACTGAAATAAAAAAGTTAAATAAAAAATCTGTTATAATGTCTTTATAATTATTGTACTTACCTTTCAGCTACAAAATTTTGATTTATATTTTTAACACTACACTGTAAAATATTTTAACCCTAAATTCCTTAAGACATAAAAACATACACTCACAGGCAAAATAATCGATCCACACAAATTTTCGATAAATTTCAATCGCAAATAAATTTTTTATTTGTTTTCGGATTTAAACAAATATTAAAGAATATTGTAGATACATTAATGGACGATCGCTCACATTTTAAAAATTACTAAAAAATACATGTACGTTAATAATATACAGGTTTAAACAAAAAGATGTTTTTTACTATAAGTTTAAGACACTCTGTAGAGTGGCATAACCGTATATTGTTCTAAATTAAGTTTTAATTATCAAGTCACATCTATTTTTAACAGTTTTGTTTTTGGTTCACCTTGATATATTTATTTTTGTGGAAAATATGGATTTTTTAAAAAAACATTGCAATTTCCAATATTTTTCTGTATGAAGAACTAAGGTTGCTATGGTCCATCCATAGGCTATGGAGAATGACAGTGACAGTTTTGTTGAATCATCTCATACTTGGACATATCATACACGGTTTTCAAAAGCTATCAAATTGTTTTTTGCAAATTAATGTTTAAATTTTTTTTTCTTACTTTAAAAAATGGATATGTCTCCGACTGATGTTGCCAGAGCCATTAATTTAATCCAGGATGGACGGTCACAGTATTACGTGGCAAGTGTTTTAAACGTCACAAGAAGTAAAGTACAAGGGGCAACATCAGTCGGAGACATTTTTAAAAGTAAGAAGATACCTCAAAATTAACACATTAATTAACAAAAAACAATTTGATAGCTTTTGAAAGCTGTATATGACATGTCCAAGTATGGGATGATTCAACAAAACTGTCACTGTCATCCTCCATAGGCTATGGATGGACCATAGCAACCTTAGTTCTTCATACAGAAAAATATTGGAAATTGCAATGTTTTTTTAAAAAAATCCATATTTTCCACAAAAATAAATATATCGAGGTGAACCAAAAACAAAACTGTTAAGAATAGATGCGACTTGATAAAAAAAACTTAATTTAGAACAATATACGGTTTTGCCACTCTACAGAGTGTCTTAAACTTATGGTAAAAAACATCTTTTTGTTTAAACCTGTATATTATAAACGTACGTGTATTTTTTAGTAATTTTTAAAATGTGAGCGATTGTCCATTAATTTATCTACAATATTCTCTAATATTCGTTTAAATCCGACATCAAATAAAAAAGTTATTTGCGATTGAAATTCATCGAAAATTTTGTAACAATTTTTTTCAACGCGCGTGTAGGTATAAAGCTGTCTCGGTGCACACCAGCGATCCGCCGCTGGTAAGGGAGGGCAAAACAAAAAAAAACATGCAGTGGGTGCCATCCTTGCCGAATTCCAGCCATCTTGATGCGGTACCGCAAGCAACACCCATTAACCGCAACCGCGTGGCCGCAAAGAAAGTACGAACTTTCCCTTTGTGTTTCGACGACACTGACCCTGAAATTAACGCTGAAAACGCTTGTCAGGGGGAGCTACTGGTGCCGATTAGGTTGGACATGGAAATCGAGGGTCAAAAATTGCGCGACACTTTCACGTGGAATAAAAACGAGAGTCTGATATCCCCAGAGCAGTTTGCTGAAGTATTATGTGATGACTTAGATTTGAATCCTCTTACTTTCGTTCCTGCCATAGCCCAGGCTATTAGACAGCAACTGGAGGCTTTCCCCCCCGAACCCCCTGCCATTATGGAGGAGTCTTGCGATCAGAGGGTTATAATAAAGCTGAACATCCACGTGGGTAATACTTCTTTGGTAGACCAAATCGAATGGGACATGAGCGAGAAAAAAAACAACCCCGAGGAGTTTGCTTTGAAGTTGTGCGCCGAATTGGGGTTGGGGGGGGAGTTTGTCACCGCGATTGCTTATTCTGTTCGCGGTCAAATATCATGGCACGCCAGAACCTACGCCTTTTCCGAAGCCCCATTACCAACAGTGGAGGTTCCGTTTAGGTAAGTGTTTCGGTATAAATAAAAAAAAATGGTAGGACAAATTCGCACAGAGGCTCGAAATAAAAAATTGTGGCGACCTGATTTTTTTTTACTTTAAGCTTATTTTGCCTTGTTTAGTCAACATTAATAGAATTTATTACCACTAATAACCCTAAAAAATACCAGGCGAATGGGAATTATTTACGGTAAAGTGGTCTTAATATCGTAAAATTATGACTTATGAGTTACATTTACCATTAAGTAAAAATTCTGACGTTAAAATTACCGTTATATTTTCCTTTAGGTGAAATGCACATATAAGTAATTTTCTTTCGTAAAAAAAATTATATCCATTATAAAAAATGTCAAAATTTACCATTTAAAATACTGTGCGATTTTTTAATTTCGAGTGCCGATATGTTTATGTATAAAGTTTTGATTTTTTAAGCTATAAATCTTGGATATTTAAAATTTAAGGAAATTTAGTAAAAATTCGCATAGTATGGATTATATTTATGAAATTTTGGCAATTATTTTTTTTTAACATTTTTCAATTATTAAAAAAAGGTATACCTACCTATTATAAAAAATTGCCCAATTTTCAGTTTTCTAAATTTCCAAATTTTTTAAAATATCATAAATTTTATTTAAATTGCGAATTTTTTTCAAAATTTATTAATTATGAACCACTGCGAATTTTTATAACATTGGGAATTTAGAAAATTTGAAAAGTAACAAAAAATATAAATCTTATTCATACTTTGCAAATTTTTTCCACGATTTTTTAATTTTGAACCACTGTGCGAATTTGTCCTACCATTTTTCAATTTTAAACTACCGGATTATATATATGAAGTTTTCAGCTTAAAATCTTAAAAATCTTGTAAATTTTAAAATTTAAAGAAATTTTTGAAACTCAGGACAAATTCGCACATTACTTCAAATTAAGAAATTGAGGGTAAAATTTGCATTATTTTTATGTGCTTTTGAAAATTTTGGAAATGATTTTTCTTTATAAAAAACAAAAATTTAAATTTTTTTTAAAATGTAACAAATATAAAAAAATTATACCTATCATGAAAAAAATTGACCAATTTTTAAAGTTTTCTAAATTTTCAAATTTTTCAAAAAGGTCATAAATTTTATTCACACCCCGAATTTTTCAAATAATTTTTTAATGACCTATTATAAAAAATGGACAAATTTTCAAAGCTTGCTAAATCTCCAAATTTTTTAAAATGTCAGATTTTATACAAACTGCGAAATTTTCCCATAATTTTTTAATTATGAATCACTACGAATATTTATAATATTGGGAATTTAGAAAATTTGCGAAGTGAAAAAAAATATATAAAAAATGGACAATAAACATTTCCATACATTTTAAAATTTTCCAAATTTACAAAAAATAATGCACAAATTTTCAAAATTTTTATTTATTCAAACTTTGCAAATTTTCCCCACGATTTTTTAATTTTGAACCACTGTGCGAATTTGTCCTACCAATTTTTAATTTTGAACTACCGAATTATATTTATAAAGTTTTAAATTTGTAAATTTAGGAAAAATACGCACAATAGTTCAAAATAAAAAAATTAAGGGGAAAATTCGTATAGCATGGATTATATTAATGAAATTTGGATAATTTTGTAAAAAACAAATTTTTTGAACTTTTTTAAAATTTCTAAATATGTAATAAAAAAATTTTGAAAATAACTTTTTTTATGAAAAAAACTAAAATTTCAAACTTTTTAAATTTCCCAAATATTAAAAAAAAATCAACTTCATTATAAAAAAGCACCAATTTTCAAATCTTGCAAAAAAAAATTTAAATGTAAAATTTTATTCAAACTGCGAATTTTTCCCACGATTTTTAAATTTTGAACCACTGTGCGAATTTGTCCTACCAATTTTTAATTTTGAACCACCGAATTATATTTATGAAGTTTTACGCTTGAAATCTTAAAAATCTTGCAAATTTAGAACAAATTATCACAGTAGTTTAAAATAAAAAATTAAGGGGAAAAATTTGTCAATTTTTAAAATTTTTTTTTTTTAAATTAACAAATATAATTTACAAGTCAAAATCTCATAAAAATTTGCGGTGTTATTTTCCGAAAAACTGCACAATTTTAATTCTTAGATCGACCAGCGAAAGCGACGCATGGGCGCCATTTTTAGAGACGCTAACCGACGCCGAAATGGAGAAAAAAATCCGCGACCAGGACCGCAACACGCGGCGCATCCGGCGCTTGGCAAACACCACCACTGCGTGGTAAAAAAAAGAAGTTTTATAATAATTATTTTAAGTTTTATAACCTCGAAAATATCTGTCATGGTCAAGTCATGTTTTAAAATGAAACTCATTTTAATGGTTTTATAAATATATTTTTATTTGATCACTCATTTTCTTCAACATCATCAATGTAATACAAAAATGCATCATTTTCATATGTAGGAAAATAGTATCTAAAAAAAAACAATAAAAAAATAAAAAATTATAGGTATTATTATTTTTCTTCACTGATATATTAAAAACTTACTCTGGTTGGTCAAAAGTTCTAACACTGGGTATTTTGCAATGTTTTTCTTCCCTTAAATGTTCCTCAACATTTTCGCAACTTATATCACAGAAAAAGCATTTTTTATCGTGCACCTGCCTTCTTATGTAATTCACAAGTTTTATTTTTTGATAAAAATCCAAACTTTTGGTCACCTCAACAAAATCAAAGTCGTGATCTCCATCCATGTGCAAACACAAGGTGTTTATGTTGGTATCCTTTTTTACGCAAAACAAACAGGTTATGTCGTCTTGGGAATCTTCCCAGTCAGAATATTCTTCATCTGTGTTTTGATCATAACCTAAAAAAAATTATTATGGCTAAACTACCATCACAGATTAACAAGTCCCACCACGTGACCACGTACGGAACGCAGTCTTTTGAAAATTTGGCATTTAAGGCTTTTCAGGTTATGTATAGTCAACGAAAGAAATAATATTATGTTTAGGCGTTAAAAATGTATAAATCTTTATAACATTACAATAACAATGGATAGTTTAAGAATTTAAGAATATAAATACTGCATTTAAAGAAATTCTAAAGTGTATGGTGCCAAATAAGTAATATTTTTGTGCATTTGGTCCAAATATCTGGTTTTGTCCATAAAATAACTAAACAGCATTTATTTAAAAAAATCTAGCTTCTCTATTATGGAAAAAGAATATCTGTATTAAAGGTAAGTTAATATATTATAACAAAAATATCATCTAATTTTGTAATTTTAAGGTTAGAAAAATTTATTTTGACCAAAATAAATAAGTATTTTGGATTATTTAAAAGACTGTATAATATGGTATTTAAAAATGTGGTAGTTTTTCTTATCCAGCTTAAAGTGTACCTACATAAAGGTTTGTCAATACAAATAGTTAAAAAGCTTCGACTGAATTTGATCTACACCAAAAAATCATTATAACTTTAAAAATTTTAATAAATCACATATCATGGGAGTATTAAATATTTTCACATTGCAAGTTTCTCTAAAAATTGTTTGTTTTCTTATAATATAACTTAAAGTAAGTATGCCAAGAGGTATGCACAAGTTTTGTTGTTAGAAGTATAAAAGCTTCAATTTAATTTGAACTATATTCAACAATTATTTAGTATACCTATATTTATTTATGACCATATTAACACACTCTTTCAAATAATCCACTTATTTATTTTGGTCAAAATGAATTTTTCTAACCTTAAAATACAAAATTAGATGAAATTTTTTGTTCTAATACATTAACCTACCTTTGATACAGATATTCTTATTTCATAATAGAGAAGTTAGATTTTTTTAATAAATGCTGTTTAGTTAAAACTATTTTATGGAGAAATGTAGACCCAATGCACAAAAATATCACTTATATTGCACCTTACACTTTGGAATTTCATTTAATGCAGTATTTATATTCCTAAATTCTTAAACCAACCATTGTTATTGTGATACTATAAAGATTTATTAACTTTTAACCCTTAAACATAAGTGGTAACACTATAAATATTATTTCTTTCATTGTCTATACTTTGACCAGGGTTGGGTCAGTAGAAAACCTTAGGTAATTTACCTTGGTAGAAAAGGGTAGAAAACTTGTTTTCGACTTGCGTCGAAAACCTATAGGGTTTTCTACCTACGTTAATTACCTTATTCGATCTTCTCCTTCCACTTCTCTATAATTGATAAAAATTTGCCCTCATGCCAAAAATTATGTTGGGGTCTCCCAACCAAACGTGGCCCTTTTTTTCCCACCATAATAATGTTAAAAAACTCCAAATAACTTCAAATTTATGGTAGGTGTCTGATTTTTCACAACATTTAACAAATCATAATAAACAACAAACTTGCATAACCTCACATTTTTTGATATTTGACAGTATTCTACTTTTTTACGTTTTCTACCGTCGAAAACGTCGAAAAAGGTTTTCTACATGTCGAAAACAAAAATGTAGGTAGATACCCAACCCTGACTTTGACAGATACATAACCTGAAAAGCCTTAAATGCCAAATTTTCAAAAGACTGTAGTACCTCTAGGTAATGCATATCTGTCATCTTCATCTTGTATGGCTTCCCAAGTTTTGCCAACCTCCAAATAATTCACTATATAGTACTTATCATATTCTTTATCCCCCGGATTAATCCTTTTATGCAGTTTTTTACGCATGTGCTCTTTCAAAATACTTCTTTCAGGAAAAATTTTCCCACAGTACAAACATTGCAGATCGCTCAATTTCTTTGATATTTTCTCTATTAATTCCTCCACAAACACTAAATTCTGAGGATTCCCCAGCTGCAAATTGTGTTGTTCCGACAAGTGCTTTAGATAATCCGGACGAGACCCTTCGTAGTTTAACTTGCAAAACAAACACTGCCGTATGTAGGATTTATCCGTTCGCTCGTATTCCAGCACCTTCATTGCTTCATCCAACCTTAATTTATGCCTCAAATCCTTGTCTTCCTTCAACAAACTCGATAATAAGTAATATGTGCTCTCGGTTTCTTTAACTTCAATGCTCGGTATTATTTCCTCCATGTTGTGTGTTCTAAACTTATTTCCCCAGTAATTTACATAACTACAACAAATACACTGGTCAATAATGCAATGAATTGGTAAAAAGTGAGGTTAAAACCACTTGCCAGCTGTCAAATTGACAGACAGAAAAATGAGGTTACTTACTCATGTAAGTTTTCGATATTCTGGACATCCTCTATAACCAACCGATGGTCTTCGAATAAATGCTTGCAGAAAAAACTCAGCTCCCCCTTCAAGTTGTACTGATTCGTGCACAACGGGCATTTAGTTTCTCGGTCGTGCGAAAAGCTTTTCTTTCGCGACTCGTCGAAAGACAAGGGGCCGAACATTTTGTGAATTCAATGAGGTTAGAATGTCTCGCGTGAAGTTGGAACACTATAGTGTGTTTGGTTTGTAACGAATGGATGTTGCAAATTGCGTTTTATTGATTATTTGTGTGTGATTATATTGTAATTTATTAAATAAATAATCAATATTTTTAACAACAATTAAAGATTGTTTTGAGTTGCCTGATAAAAATTAAAACTTACAGTACATTTTGTATACAAAAAATAGACTATAGTGTATCACAGCTAACTTCACTTAAAAACTGTCAAACAATCATGGCCGTCTAGATTTGTTTGGGATTTTAAAATTAACTCTACAGGGGTATGAATGAAAATTACAACTTAACAGAACGTTTATTGGTTATTGTGCTTGTGTTGGCGTTTATTTGGGTGTGTAAGGAGTTATTGTAGCATGTCCAAGCATAAAGTATCGTACTTTTTCAACCCTGATGTGGGTAATTTTCACTATGGTACTGGACACCCTATGAAACCCCATAGACTATCTGTTATACATAGTTTAGTGTTGAATTACGGTTTAAACAAGCACATGCAGATATACAGGCCGTATAAAGCCAGTGTGCATGATATGTGTAGATTTCACTCCGATGAGTATATAGACTTTCTTCAGAGAGTTACCCCGCAGAATATACAGGCTTTTACGAAACACTTGAGCCACTATAATGTGGGGGATGATTGTCCAGTGTTTTATGGTTTGTTTGATTTTTGTTCCATGTACACTGGGGCTAGTTTAGAGGGTGCAATGAAACTGAACAATAATCACTGCGATATCGCTATAAATTGGTCTGGCGGTTTACATCACGCAAAAAAATTCGAAGCTTCGGGGTTTTGCTACGTAAACGACATCGTAATCGGCATTTTGGAACTGCTAAAGTTACACCCGAGGGTTCTATACATCGACATCGATGTACACCATGGAGATGGCGTACAGGAAGCATTTTACTTGACCGATAGAGTCATGACTGTTAGTTTCCACAAGTACGGAAACTACTTCTTCCCCGGAACAGGAGATATGTACGAAATTGGCGCGGAAAGTGGGCGGTACTACTCTGTAAACGTGCCCCTTAAGGAAGGCATCGACGATCAAAGTTACTGGCAGGTTTTTAAGCCTGTTATAGGGAATGTCATGGAGTTTTTTCAGCCCACTGCTATTGTTTTGCAGTGTGGGGCCGACTCTTTGGCAAATGATAGGTTTGTTGTATTTTTTTTAGTATGAGTGTGTGTAATATGATTTTTTTAGGTTAGGGTGCTTTTCTCTGAGCACTAAAGGCCATGGTCAATGTGTCGAGTTTGTTAAGAGCCTTAATGTTCCTACTTTGGTTGTAGGTAAGTAAAAGTACTTTTGTGATTCCATCTTTGACGCATTGACAAGCTGTCAGTTTTTGGCTGAAGTTAGCAACAAGTTTTTGTTACATAGTTGACAGTTATCAAATGTCATAAAATCGTCGAAATAAACTCCAACTCTTATGAAATAATGGTAAATCTGAAAATTATTTTATCATCTCAATACAAAACATGTTTGAAGAAAAATTTGACAACTAACATCGCCATTTTGAAAGTCGGTAAAGCAGATTCACAGGTTACTCTAATTTTGTGTAGATGTCGCTATATCGTCGCCTTCAGGAGAAAATTGCTTAACTCCATGTTGTAAAATTTTACAGGAGGAAAGAAAAACATATTAAAGGTGCATTGGTGTATCTCCACATTACCGCCAAAAAATTGTTTAATGGAAAATTACGTATCTCCAATATGTACTTTATGTTAATAAAAGTAACCTTAAATTATTCATGGTACCTTAACTTTACACACTATACAATCTTTCATACTTACATACAGAAAAAATAACTAGGCAATAACTTATACTTGTCAATGGCACTGATTTGTATATTGGAGTTAGGCATTATTCCCTGGACGCTCCTCCACGATTGGAGATACGTATATTTCTTTTTCTAAATTTAAAATTAACGGTTTATTTTAGGACTTCTGTAACTTGCATATAAATTAGTTACAGTTTTATCTAACAGATGCCACTAAAATACAATTTTAATGAAAATGTGGAGTTACGTGATTTTCTCCTGAAGGCGACGATATATAAATTTATAAATTAATTGAAATAAATTATTTTTTAAACCTTTGGGAAATTTTAAAAAAGATTTTTGTTTTTTATGAAAAAAATCATTTTCAAGATTTCATAAATATAATCCATACAATGCGAATTTTAAACCACTGTGCGAATCTTGGAAATTTTCTTGAAATTTTAAAATTTAAAGGAATTTTGTAAATTTAGGAAAAATTCGCACAGTAGTTCAAAATAAAAAAAATGAGGGAAAAATTCGCATTATATTTATGATTTTTTTTTATAAAAAACAAAAATCTTAAACTTTTTTAAAATTTCCAAAATATTTATAATCATATTTTTAAAAATGGATATTTTCAAAATTTTTAACTTATAAATCTTTTTAATTTTGAACCACTGTGCGAATTTGTCCTACCAATTTTTAATTTTGAACTACTGAATTATATTTATATATATTTATAAAGTTTTAAGCTTGAAATCTTAAAATTCTTGGAAATTTTAAAATTTAAAGGAATTTTGAAAATTTAGGAAAAATTCGCACAGTAGTTCAAAATAAAAAAAATGAGGGAAAAATTCGTATTGTATTTATGAAATTTTGAAAATTTTGGAAATTATTTTTTATATAAAAAACAAATCTTAAACTCTTAAAATTTCCAAAATGTTTATAATTATATTTTTAAAAATGGATATTTTCAAAATTTTTAAGTTATAAATCTTTTTAATTTTGAACCACTGTGTGAATTTGTCCTACCAATTTTTAATTTTGAACTACCGAATTATATTTATATATATATAAAGTTTTAAGCTTGAAATCTTAAAATTCTTGGAAATTTTAAAATTTAAAGGAATTTTAAAAATTTAGGAAAAATTCGCACAGTAGTTCAAAATAAAAAAATTGAGGGAAAAATTCGTATTGTATATTTATGAAATTTTGAAAATTTTGGAAATTATTTTTTATATAAAAAACAAATCTTAAACTCTTTTAAAATTTCCAAAATATTTATAATTATATTTTTAAAAATGGATATTTCCAAAATTTCGCATGCGAATTTGCCCTACCAATTTTTCATTTTAAATTACCGAATTTTATTTATGAAGTTTTAAGCTTGAAATCTTAAAATTCTTTTAAATTTTAAAATTTTAAGGAATTTTGAAAATTTAGAAAAAATTCGCACAGTAGTTCAAAATAAAAAAATTCAGGGAAGAATTTGCATTGTATGGATTATATTTATGAAATTTTGAAAATTTTGGAAATTATTTCTTTTATAAAAAACAAATCTTAAACTCTTAAAATTTCCAAAATATTTATAATTATATTTTTAAAAATGGATATTTTCAAAATTTTTAAGTTATAAATCTTTTTAATTTTGAACCACTGTGTGAATTTGTCCTACCAATTTTTAATTTTGAACTACCGAATTATATTTATAAAGTTTTAAGCTTGAAACCTTAAAATTCTTGTAAATTTTAAAATTTAAAGGAATTTTGAAAATTTAGGAAAAATTCGCACAGTACTGTTTAAAATAAAAAAATTCAGGGAAGAATTCGCATTGTATGGATTTTATTTATGAAATTTATGATAATTTTGTAAATGATTTTTCTTTATAAAAACAAATATTTTTAACTTTTTTAAATTTCCCAAATATGTAATAAAAAATATATACCTATTATAAAAAATGGACCAAAATGCAAATTTTTCCCATAATTTTTTAACCACTGCGAATTTTTATAATATTGGAAATTATAAAAAATGGACAAACTTTCCCAAAACATTTCCAAAATATTTCCAAATTTACAAAAAAAAATTATTAAAAAAAATGCACAAATTTTCAAAATCTTATTCATACTTTGCGAATTTTCCCACGATTTTTTAGTTTTGAACCACAGTGCGAATTTGTCCTACCAATTTTTTATTTTGGACTGCCGAATTATATTTATGAAGTTTAAAGCTTAAAATCTTAAAAATACTGTAAATTTCTTAAAAATTTAAAATTTAAAGGAATTTTGTACATTTAGAACAAATTCGCACAGTAATTCAAATTAAAAAAATTGAGGGAAAAATTCGCTTTGTATGGAGTATATTTATAAGATATTTTTTAAATATAAATCTTATTCATACTTTGCGAATTTTCACACGATTTTTTAGTTTTGAACCACAGTGCGAATTTGTCCTACCAATTTTTAATTTTAAACTACCGAATTATATTTATGAAGTTTTAAGCTTGAAATCTTAAAAATCTTGAAAATTTTAAAATTTAAAGGAATTTTGGAAATTTAGGAAAAATTTGCACAGTAGTTCAAAATAAAAAATTAAGGGTGAAAATTTGCATAGCATGGATTTTATTTTGTTAATGATTTTTCTTTATAAAAACAAATATTTTTAACTTTTTTAAAAATTCCCAAATATGTAATAAAAAAGTTAAAAAATAAATTATTTTGTAAAACCAATAGGAAACGAGATGAGGTTCTCTTTTATTAGTTTTAGCGCCATCTATTGTTGTTACTTAAAATTGTATGCTCTACCATAGAACAGACTTGTTGTATTTTTAGGGGGAGGGGGATACACTCTAAGAAACGTGGCGAGATGTTGGACATATGAAACGTCCCTATTGGTTGACGAGCAAATTTCAAACGAACTCCCCTACACGGAGTATTTGGAATTTTTCGCCCCAGATTTCACGCTTCACCCTGAAGTGGTGACACGGACGGAAAACGCTAACAGTAAACAATACTTGGAAGCCATAACAAAGTAATTTTTTTTACAAAAAAAAAAAAATTTACTTACTCATATTTTGTAGGTTTACCTATGACAATTTAAAAATGTGTCAACACTCTCCTAGCGTGCAGATGCATGACGTCCCAGGTGATATGATACAAGAAGATGAAAAAATAAAAGAAGAAGAAGATCCTGACGTTCGTATAAGTCAGGATTTAGAAGACAAAATGGTCGAACCCAAAAATGAATTTTATGATGGGGATAAGGACAATGATAAGGATGATGTTAAGACTTAAAAACATTTCAACTGTTGGGTCCTTGTAATGTAAAAATTACAGGGTCCTGGACAATATCCCATATGTAATGTGATATATTTTATTTTTACTAATTTTTTTGTTTTTTTCTTACCTTCAGCTAAATAAAGTGAAACTACGAATTATTGGTTTTATTTCTTTATTTGTACACCTATACAACAAAATCATAAAAAACATTTGTTGGTGCAGAATTAACTAATGAAAACTTTACCTAATACAATTTATATTTAAGTTTGGACATTTTTAAGAAATTAGTAAAAAATAATTTTTGCACAAACATAACCTTAAAATCAACCATTTTTATATTTGAGTTCTCTAAAAAACGCCGACAACTGCATTTTAAACAACAAATTCATGGCAACATAATATTATATATAATACATAATATAATGGTATTTTACCGTTGAGTGGAGACTTTCTTAATCAACGCTTTTAATAATGCTAAATGCTGTTTAAATTTAGACGACTTATTTGTTTGACAACACTGCATTCCACACAGGCGTAGTGCTCTTGATGTAGTGTTTACAAACAGAAAAGTGAAAAATAAAAACTTACTGGATAATAATAATTAAACCTCGAAAATCATAGTTGATAAAAAATTTGGTACTTAAAACACACAAATATCTTAAATAACAAAAACACGACAACAAACAATCTAATTTAACAAAACAAACAATAAACACAAACATTAATTTTTTAGGTTGTTATAAACAATTTGTTGACTAATTAGGTGTTTTGTAAACAATATTACTGATAAAAAATTGCCAAATATTTTTAAAATTTAAAAGTATATGTTTCTGCACATTGACAAGTTGTGGCTTTATGGCGCTTTAGTCACGGGCTGAAGTTAGCAACAGGATTTTAGTCACGGGCTGAAGTTAGTTTTAAGTTAGTTGACAGTTGTCAAATGTCATACAATCGTTAAAATAAAGTGCCTTTCTTGTAAAACAATACTAAATGTGAAAATTATTTTATTATCTTAATAAAAAAATACAAAAGTATTAAATAGTTTCTCAACGCCAATATTTGAAAAGTTTATAAGAACATTGTAATGACCTTTTAATTTTAAGTCCTCATAAAACATTTTCTTTACTTTCACTGAAAAACAATTTTCAAGAAATACATTTCGATTTATACCTTTATAATCTGTGTTTATAAAATATAAAAATGTGACATTTGACGGTGACACGGAGATTCCCCTATTGTTTCATAGATGGCGCTCTATACAAATTTTTGATTTAAATCATTTTAAGATAATAATAAGTATTTGTCGTGGAAAAAGTATAGTATTCACCTTGTTTATAAACTTTTCTATACACTCATTAACTTAAGCACTCGCTCGCAAGCTCGCGCCTAAATTAAATTCGTGTACCTACTTTTTTATAGATTTTACTCATCTCAATATCTGTATATCCACACCTGTTTCAATATTGCTTTAATTTTTAAGTGTTTGTTATCAATTTTAAGTTTAAATTTTGTTTTCAATGTTGTGGGTAACGATTTTTTTGCAAAACAACTTAGTAATATCTAATTTATTACAATAAAACTTATCTTAAATTATAATACTTAATTATTCTATAAATTGTTTAAATATTGAGTTGTTTTGAACAGTCAATTACTACTATAGGTACCTAATGAAAATGTTGCTGCAACATATATACTTTTTTTTATTGGCATCATTCTTTATAAATCACGGTGAGTTATTTTTATTTTTTGAAAATTAAATTATGTATGTACTTACATAAATTGTTAGTTTATGGTAATACGTGCCAACAAAAAAACGTAACCTATGGATATGTCTGTGTTTGTAACTCAACGTATTGCGATACTGTACCTCAAGTAGACGTAAAAGAAGGAATCTATCAACTATATACTACAACGTCACAAATGTTGGGTTTTTCGACTATAAAAGGACAAATTAAAGTAAAATAAAAACTTCATATTTTATTTTTAATAAGAAAAATTTTTTTTAGTCTAACAGTGAAGGTATTTCTAAATATAAAATAGACTTGACGACTTCCAATCCCAAGCAAACTGTTTTTGGGTTTGGTGGTGCATTTACAGGTTCTACAGGTTTCAATATAAATGGTCTTTCTTCAAGAGCACAAGACAATTTGCTGGAAAGCTATTTTGGTGCTGGTGGTATTGAGTATACCTTATGCAGAGTTCCTATTGGTGGTAGTGACTTTTCTTTAAAGAAATACACATATGATGATGACCATGTGGGTGATGTGGATTTAAAGTACTTTGCATTGCAAGATGAAGACTTGCTATTTAAGGTATAAAACTGCAAATGACATTTTCTCGTTTGCAGAAGTACCTAAAAGTTTCTTTCTAGATACCATATATAAAAAAGGCTAATGAGTTATCAAATAACACTCTGGAACTGTTTGCTAGTGCTTGGTCGGCCCCTCCATGGATGAAAACCAACAATGACTTTGCTGGAGTAGGTTTTTTGAAGCTGGAGTACTACCAAACGTGGGCGGAATATTATGTTAAATTCTTCGAAGAATACGATAAAAGAGGTGTTAAGTTTTGGGGGGTAACCACTCAAAACGAACCTTTTGACGGCTTTCTACCGCAGTTGATATCCCAGATACCCTCTATGGGATTTGATAACCACCAAATGGTAAGATACACGTTGATACTAGAACCACAATGAGCACTACAATTTCAGAACCAATGGCTATCACAACATCTAGGCCCAACTTTAAAAAATTCGTCATTCAACGATTTGAAAGTCATGATACACGACGACAGCAGACACACTCTACCTTTGTTGCCAATAGTAATTAATTTATCAAAAATTTTTTTTTTTTTTTACAAAATACATACCTACTCAACCTTCTTTTAATAGCATTTTTAAGTCGCCCAAATCTTCTAAAACAAAAAAGTTACAGACGTTCTTCCAAATTTTTCAGATTTTGGAAAACCCTCAGTCAATGCAATATGTGCACGGCGTTGCAGTGCATTGGTATGCCGACAAAATCACCCCAAGTGAATATCTTGATCTCTTCACAAAATCCAGCAAAAAGGAGTTATTCTTGCTTGGGACTGAAGCTTGCAATGGTGAGGAAAACGCAGTAAAAAACAGCTTCACTAGAGAACACAAAACGCGTTTTTCACGCGATTTTCGATCTTATAAACCAAAACTAAATGCAATTTTTGACATATAAACCATGATGAGTAATAATACTTTGAAATTGACTTACCTTTAGTTAATAATTACAAACCACAACTAACCATCTTGGTGCATTCTTCCAACACAAATTCGGAGAGAACAATGAACGAAACAAGTTTGCGTTTTTGTCAACTGAACACCAACTGATTGCATATTTACACTGCCAGAGCTTGGCTAGTGTTAAATGAATATTTAGGTGTAAAGTTAGATTGATGTGGAACTCTACTATCGTAATACTCTGTTTTCAGGTTTTTTGCATGCCTTAAACTTGGAACATTCCGTGGAGTTGGGTAGTTGGGCTAGAGCTGAAAAATACGTCAGGAATATCATCACAGTAATTGCGGTGTTGCCATATTTGGCGAGGCGTTTTCATAAAAACTAAAATTCTAGGATTTCGCCCATGGTGCGGTGGGCTGGGTGGACTGGAATATGGTTCTGGACGAATCAGGTGGGCCATGTGCAATCGATAACAAAGTGGATGCGCCTGTTATAACCAACAATGCAACCGGTGAATTTTATAAACAACCCATGTTTTACGCCATGGGCCATTTCTCCAAATTCTTAAGACCAAAATCTCAGGTCTTGGATGTTCAAGATGGCTTACTTAAAAGTGTGGCAGTATTAAGGCCTGATGGTTTACACGCAGTCCTTGTTTTTAATGAGTAAGTATATCTTGAATGAATAGAAAAATTACATGGCCGTTTTGAATACACAGATGTAGTGAAACTTGACCCTTGGACATTTGTAAAAATATGAGTATACTACTCTGCAAATTTTTCCTACAAATTTTTTATTTTGAACTACTGTGCGAATTTCTTCCAACATTTTTCAAATTTATGACACTGCGAATTTTGTAAATTTCGATATCGCGATAAATATGGGATTTTTTTTCACATTTTTTGTAAATTTGTCCTACCATTTTAAAAATTTTGTTAATTTTGAAAATCCTGAAATGTTTATATTTTGATCCAATGTGCGAGTTTTTTTTAAATGAGCGAATTTCGTTCGAAATTTTGAAACTGCGAATTTGTCTCAACAGTTTTCAAATTTATCCCACTGTGCGAATTTTGTAAATTTCGATAATTATGGGATTTTTTCCCACAATTTTTTAATTTTGAACCACTGTGCGAATTGGTCCCACAATTTTGAAAATTTTGGAAATTTTAAAATTTGTCCCACTATTTTTTATATTTATACTATTGTGCGAGTTTTCCCCACAATTTTTTAATTTTGTACCACTGTGCAAATTCGTCTTACCATTTTGAAAATTTTAAATTTTGGATATTTGAAACTTCTGAAATTTTTATATTTTGATCCACTGTGTTTGTTTTTTTAAATGAGCGAATTTCGTTCGAAATTTTGAAACTGCGAATTTGTCCCAACAGTTTTCAAATTTAGGCCACTGCGAATTTTGTAAATTTCGATATTTATGGGATTTTTTCCCACAATTTTTTAATTTTGAACCACTGTGCGAATTTGTTGTACCATTTTGAAAAGTTTGTAAATTTCGATAATATTGTAAATTTTGAAAATTATGTATATCTTCATTTCTTTATATTTATACCACTACCCCCCCAATTTGTCATTTTAAATTTTTTGTAAATTTCGAAAATTTTGTAAATTTTGAAAATTATGTAAATCTTGAAAATTCGTACCACCATTTTTTTATATTTATACCACTGTGCGCTTTTTCCCCAATTATTTAATTTTAAACCACTCTGCGAATTTGTTTCCAAATTAATGTCACTGTGAGAATTTTGTTCAAAATTTTATAAATTTCGATAGTTTTGGATATTTTAAAAATTATGTAAATCTGGTACCACCATTTTTTATACTTATTTTGAACTACTATGCGAAATTGTCATACCATTTTGGAAATTTTGGAAATGTGCAATTCAATTCAATTCAATTAAAAAATTTGTAAAAATTGACTATGCCTATTTGTAAGTTATAAACGATTTAATATGACTTTTTTTAGGGGTCAAGATGCTACAAACGTTGAAATTAAATCAAATAAGGGTGTTATCGACGTCGAAATCCAAAAACATTCCATTAACACAATTCTATTTTAAAATGTGAATTATTAGTACCTACGTAAATAAAAAATTTCATATTATTAAATATTAGTAATTTTATATTACACATTTATTTATTTAAATATTCCATCTTCACAACACAAGATTTGACAATAAGAAAACAACGTAAAACAAATTGCAATGACTTGGTTTTAAAATTTAAAAAATCCTTCATATTGCAGAAACATCTTCATATAGGTATGGCAACACTGCATTTCGCACATGCGTAGTGCTCTTTGCGTAGTGCTTAAAGAAGCGTTTACATGTTTTGCACAGATTTGGTTCAAAACAAACATATTAAAAAATACCAAAGACATATTATTTCATTGTCTACGCCATAGACCATAGATTAGATAAAGTGCCTTAGACGCTAATATGTTAATGGCGGACACGTAATGCCCATTGTTTTGTTACACTACTTGTGTATTGTAGTAAAACTTGTGCCATGTGAGAAGTGTGAGCCGAATTGTCAGTGTCAATACTTGTCAACTTGAAAGTTGTTTTGTGTTTAAAATGGTAGTGTGTTCTGTGTTTGGCTGCAAAAGCTATATGCGTTATAGCGATAAAAAGAACGAACCTGGAATAACATTTCACAGGTAAAAATCTATCATCAATAATTAATTAATCAATTTGTGTTAAACTCCTTATTTATTTATTATAGAATCAAATTATGCATGAAACTGTCTAATGTTGTTATGTGGATTTCTAGTGGCGCCAAGGAAACTAGTGACAGGATAGTCAACTCAGTTTTTGTTTTTCTTTTTATCACATCAACTTTTGAATAAAAATAATTAATGTTATATATCTTGGCATGATTTAACATTTTTTTTTATTCATTTTAGGTTTCCTCTAAAAAACCCCGAAAGAGGCGCTTGGATTAGACAGATGAGTATTGAAAACTGGACTCCTACTAAAAATCACAGAATCTGTTCCAAACACTTTGAACCTAATTCATTCTATAAGGTTGGCAAAAGGACTTTTCTGTTGGATGAAGCGGTACCAACGCAATTTACAAAATGTGTTCTGGTAAAACTACCAGAACACATTCAACATGAAGTTGAACATAGCAGGGTGAGTTTTTTTAATATGATCTATACGTTAAAGAAGTATCGCTAGTAGCGCCACCACTCGGCTGTTGGTAAAACTTTTGATAATCAGCTGTCAAACGCGTGTGTTACAAACGAGTGTTTTTGAGAATAAAGCCGAAAAATGTTAAAAAATATCGGAAAAAAACCGTGGCTCGATTTGTTGTGTTGTTGGGTGTATTTCGAGAGGAAATCCTGGGTTGAGTTTTACCGGTTTTCCAATAAACAGTGTTAATCCGAATGAAGAAATAAATTGCATACAGTCTCTGTAAATATAAATTGTACCTATTAGATACAATAAATACACATTTTAGTAGTGATTAACGTGAAAAGTGTAAACATTTCAATTCAGTAAAAATCGTCAAACAAATAAGTCGTCTAAATTTGAACAGCATTTAGCGTTATTAAAAGCGTTGATTAAGAAAGTCTCCACTCAACGGTAAAATACCATTATATTATGTATTATATATAATATTATGTTGCCATGAATTCGTAGGTATATTTTGTTGTTTAAAATGCAGTTTTCGGCGTTTTTTAGAGAACTCAAACATAAAAATGGTTGATTTTAAGGTTATGTTTGTGCAAAAATTAGTTTTTACTAATTTCTTAAAAATGTCCAAACTTAAATATGAATTATATTAGGTAAAGTTATCATTAGTTAATTCTGCACCAACAAATGTACTTACCGAATTGGATCCTTTGGCAAAACATGAAAATGCGACGATTTAGTTCTTGAATTTTATTTACAATTAAAAACGCAATAATTCACCGTGATCCCTTGGATAAAATACACACACTAACGTAACTATATAAGCATTTAAGCGTTGAGTTTCCTAATCAATGATATAAAGAATAATGCAACGTAAAATACAAATACCGTGCGCGATTTAGCTGTGCAATCGAACAAAATTTGTCGAGTAAAGCTTCTTTAGCGTATTAATAGATATATTGTTTGTGATAAATTATGTTGCAGGGATCTTCTGAAGAATTTGTTGACCCACTAGCACTAACACCGCCTAATGTAAAAAAGTTGGAAGAAGACTCTGTAGATTCTCCAGGGAATCTACGTAGAAAACTTTGCAAAGAATTGATGAGGTCTCAGGAGAAATCGAAAAAACTTAACGTGTTGCAGCAAAAACTAAAAAGATCCAAGATTAAAATTAGCTCGTTAATGCAAATGTTAAAAGATTTGAAACGTAAAAATTTGGTGTCTTCCGAAAATAACATGCCGGAAATTTACAAAGAATTGCAAAATCGTCCGTTGGGGAAAAATAATCATTACTCCCCGGAATTAAAAAAGTTTGCGGTAACTTTGAGTTCTATTTCTCCCAAAGCATATGACTATGTCAGAGAGGTTTTTGACACGCGTTTACCGTGCAAGAGCAGTATTGAAAAGTGGTCAAAAAATAATAATAATAATTATAATAATGAAACCCAAGGCTCCACAAGTGAGTCTTTTGACATTTTAGAAAGCGAATTTGATGCATCTGAACTAAATATTAAATCTGAAACTATGGAAATTGCACAAGAGAATGAACTAAACATCAAATCAGAATTTGTGGATCTGTCAGAAACGGATTATTCAATAAATAAAGCTTTGGACGATATTCCAAATTTAACTGGTTCATATGCATTTGATACAGCGGAAGTAAACATTAAATCAGAGACTGCAGCTTGTAATTATTAACTACACATTACAAAATTTGACAGAAAAAGTTTTTTAACTTACTTATACTTCTTTAGCGTATAGCAATAAAAAACGGATCCCTTAAAAATTATTAAACCCAAAAATGATTTTTTTATGGGGATAAAGACAATGAGGTGAAAAAAGAAGTTTAAAAATACACAGGATTTCATATTTTGTTGTTGATGCCTAAAACTGAATAATAAAATAAAATTTCGAACAAATTAGTTTTATTTCTTTAATTCTACTAATGTAACCTTAGTTGCATGCCATAGTTATTATGGTAATGATCAATGACGTAGATTTGAGGTTAGGTACTAAAAATCTTTGCACAGAATCTAACGGCGGCCATTTTTATGTTTATACAGATTAAAAATCGTTTTAAACGTTGTGTTCCTCACAGAGGCACTTGTAAGCCTCAAATGAGGCCTTTAAATGCTAAGAACAACCATTTTAAACCTTATTCTATTAGGGCTGCCATCAAACTATCAAATTTAAATTTGTGGGTTATGGTAAATTAACCTTGAAATTGAAATTTGACAGTTTAATGACAGCCCTGATAGAATAAAGTTTATATATATATATATATACTCTATGGGTTTATTTTTACCAAATGTGGAGTAAAACAGTTGTTCTCAGCACTTTTAGGCTTACTGTGAAAAACACAACGTTTAAAACGATTATTAATCTGTATTAGGGCCACCAATTTCCCTAAAAAAGAATGTCTCAAGTTAAAACTAACCTAAAAACTAAAACACTGGCAGTGACAATGTCAATCATACAATTAAGGTCATTTTACACTAAGATTAAATATAGAATTTCTAATATTAAGCTGCACATTACAGTTCTCCCACCTCTAATCATTCTGCTAAAACATGTGCGTGCACGCCTGTGATTGTCTACTTTATTTTTATTAATAACTAATTAATGGTGCGTCCTTGACCTTTAAGACACCCTGTATATTATCAGAATAAAAAATTATTGTTAAATACACAAAACATTGCATTTAATCTAATGGCTCGTTAGCTCAGTTGGTTAGAGCGTCGCACTGATTCTTTTAGATAGCTGAAGGTCGTGAGTTCGAATCTCACACGAGCCCAACTTTATTTTGCAATTATTATTGGTAATATAAGTTTTTTCTTACATTGCACCGTGCTATTTCTTCATTTTTTTCCTCTAATAATACATTGTATAATAAATAAAGTCAGTTTAATTATTTACACATATGTCCAAAAGTTTGGAATATTGCAATATTTCTTTTTTTATTGATATTTATATATATTTTTTTTATATAGGTAAATACCATTTTATAACGACTCCGACCAACAATAAATAAACCTCAAAGGCAGAGAAAATAGAGTAAATATTAACAACAGTTTTTTTAAACTACCATAGGCGTAGATATATTATTTGTAACTATTCCAAACTTTTGGACATGTGTGTATTTTATATTTGATCTGGGGAAATTTATTTTGTACACAGGTTTGGCAACCCTGCCTCACAGAACATCTGATTTGGTGCAACACAAAGTATGTTTTTCGTGTTTTTGCCATGGTTTATTTAGTTTTTGCTTGAAAAGAAACTAAAGACTTCGGTTTTAATATTGAAATAAAATGGTTGTTTGTTCTGCATTTGGCTGTAGAAGTAATAGTTGCAGGAAAGAGCTTGGAATAACCTATCACAGGTAAAAATCTGTATTATTTTTGTTGACTTGTAAATTTGTTGTAAGATGTAATTTATTAATAAAATTAGTTTTAAGAATTTAATAAGTAAATACAGTAGGCCGTGACAGCAAATTAGCGGTGCCAATGTAGTAAAAATAAAACGTTGAAGTTTAATTAACAAATTATTACAAAAAACTAAAACATAACATAAAAAGTAATTAAATTACAATACAAATTGTTAATTTGTTGTAATAATAGCAAAATTAAGGTCTAAAACTGTCATAGTTTTGTTTTTTAAGTTGGCAGCGCGAAATTTCAAATGACAATTTTAAAGTGCTAAAAACTTGTTTTTTGAGATTTCTATAAAAGTGTACTGTAGGTTTCCTCTAAGAAATCCGGAAAAAACTGCTGTTTGGGTTCAGCAGATGAACATTGCAGACTGGTTGCCTGGGAAAAATGACAGAATTTGCTCCAAACACTTCAAACCTGATTCATTCTATAGACTTGGCAATAAGGCTTATCTATTGGACGATGCTGTACCAACCCTATTTACAAAATTACCGGAACACATTCAACATGAAGTTGAACATAGCAGGGTGAGTTTTTTAATATAATCTATACACTAAAGAAGTATCGCTAGTAGCGCCACCACTCGGCTGTTGGTAGAACTTTTGATAATCAGCTGTCAAACGCGTGTTACAAACGAGTGTTTTTGATAATAAACCCGGAAAATGTTAAAAAATATCGGAAAAAAACCGTGGCACGATTTGTTGTGTTGTTGGGTGTATTTCGAGAGGAAATCCTGGGTTGAGTTTTTACCGGGCTTCCAATAAACAGTGTTAACCGAATGAAGAAATAAATTGCATACAGTCTCTGTAAATATAAATTGTACCTATTAGATACAATAAATACACATTTTAGTAGTGATTAACGTAAAAGTGTAAACATTTCAATTCAGTAATAATCGTCAAACAAATAAGTCGTCTAAATTTAAACGGCATTTAGCATTATTAAAAGCGTTGATTAAGAAAGTCTCCACTCAACGGTAAAATACCAATATATTATGTATTATATATAATATTATGTTGCCGTGAATTCGTAGGTATATTCTGTTGTTTAAAATGCAGTTGTCGGCGTTTTTTAGAGAACTCAAACATAAAAATGGTTGATTTTAAGGTTATGTTTGTGCAAAAATTATTTTTTACTAATTTCTTAAAAATGTCCAAACTTAAATATAAATTATATTAGGTAAAGTTATCATTAGTTAATTCTGCACCAACAAATGTACTTACCGAGTTGGATCCTTTGGCAAAACATGAAAATGCAACGATTTATTTCTTGAATTTTATTTACAATTAAAAACGCAATAATTCACCATTATCCCTTGGATAAAATACACACACTAACGTAACTATATAAGCATTTAAGCGTTGAGTTTCTTAATCAATTATATAAGGAATAATCGAAAAATCGAGTACTAAAAAAGTTTTTTATTTTTTTCCTTGCAACGCAAAACACAAATAACGTGCGCGATTTAGCTTGTGCAATTGAACAAAATTTGTCGAGTAAAGCTTCTTTAGCGTATTACTAGATATATTTAGTTTGTGATAAATTTTGTTGCAGGGAAGTACTGAGAGATCTTTTGAAGAAACTGTTGACCCTCTAGCACTAACACCACCTAATGTAAAAAAGTTGGAAGAAGACTCTGTAGATTCTATAGGGAATCTGCGTAGAAAACTTTGTAAGGAATTGATTAGGTCTCAAGAGAAATCAAAAAAACTAAAGTTCTTGCAGCAAAAACTAAAAAGATCCAAGGATAAAATTTGCTTGTTAGCACAAATGTTAAAAGATTTAAAACGCGAAAATTTATCGTCTTCCGAAAATAACATGACAGAAATTTATAAAGAATTGCAAAATAGACAATCAGGAAAAAACAGTCATTATTCTCCTGAATTGAAAAAATTTGCGTCAACTTTATGTTCTATTTCTCCCAAGGCATACGACTATGTGAGAATGGTTTTCGATATGCGTTTACCGTGCAAGAACACCTTAGAGAAATGGCCCGAAAAAAATCCGGATACAAGCGAATTTGTTCAGGTTTTAAGAATGGAATCTCCGGTAGAACTAAACATTAAATCAGAGCTTGAAGATGATGAATTAGATCCGTTAGAAATAGACATTAAATCCGAGATTATCCAGGTTGTACAAGAGGATGAAGTGGTTGATCCGGCAGTGACAGTTAAAAGTGATCATAACTATTCATTGAATAGTTATGTAATAATTAATTGTTCACATTTATAAACTCGGTAGAACAGTTTAGTGTTAGTGATGGAAAAAAACGATTTTAAAATTCTGGTGATTGTATTTTCGACTGAATCTGTGCCTCAGAGACGTAGTCGAAAAAACTGACTTTAAAGGAGAGCGTTAACAACGCAAAGATGAAAAAGCGGTGTTCACAAAACAAATAATTCGCCTAAATGCAAACAGCATTATGAAATAATACAAGCGTCGATTGAGAAAGTCTTCACTCAACGGTGAAATACCAAAAACGGGTAAAATTTTTTTTTTTCCAAAAAATAAAGAAAAATATGCATTTGAAGTTTATTTTATTTTTTGTGATACGCCCTGTTTACACACTAAAAATTTTTCTTGCTAAAAATAAATAAAAACTCAATAAATACAAAAGTTTAATTTCCTTAAACTCTAATACCCTTCTGTATTTATTTACTCATCTAGCTAAACTTTAAACATTCAATTTGTTGAGATATTTACAATTTGAGCACATAACCTAAAATTTGAAAGAAATGCACTAGATTCTGTCATAAAGTTGCCAGATTTTGTTTGAATTTGCCTTCATTACAAAAATGACAATCAACAAATAATAAAAACGCCAAATTAACAATTTTCATTGTTGATTTTGTCATTGGTAATTAAGGTAAATTTAAACAAAATTTGGCAACTTTTTTTTGACAGAATCTGGAAACGCTGCTTGTTACCAACCATAACATAATAAATTAAATTAGGCAACCAGTTTAGCCAATCAATTTTTGGCAGGATAAAGGTTATTATAAAATATTTTTAGAATTTCGAATAATAAAATAAAATCAGTTTTACTTCTTTATTTGTACACTTATTACAACAAAATCATGCAAAAACATAACAAGTTTTAAAACCTAAAATAAAATAATTTAATACGTCGAAAAAATACAGCACAAATTTACCCCATTTATGATACAATTTTAAAAAAATACGTTTTCTCTATAAAAATATTTTTCATCGCGCCAAAATAAAATCTCATGGAATGCATCAATAATTAAGAACAATAAAAAATAAAAAAAAAGGTCGCAATTTTTTTTGTACAACCCTGTAATAAAAAATATTGCACAACTTACTTTGTTTTTGTTATAATAATTAGTTTCAACCCTAATCTAAGCATCATATGGCAGTACGGGGTCATTAAAATTAATTAATTATTATACAGAGTGTCCACAAAACGTTTTTTTAATTGGACACCTTCATTACAGTATTACAGTTATTATTTTTGGTATTATTCAATAAATAAATATACAGGGTGTTTCCTGGTTATATGAGGTAATACTTATAATTATTAAGGCCTATACATTCCTAATTCTAAAGCACTGTATACACAGGGTGTTGTTAAAAATGCTATGCTTACAAAAAACTTTTTAAAAATTTTAGTCTGCAAAATTTAAATGATGCAGATAAATTTTTAATACAAAAATAATTTTTGGATTAAAAATTTATTGACTACAATTTTATTATCAATTGTTTTGATTAAAAAAAATTAACTTTTTTAACTATTTTGGTGGAAAATGTTTTATAAAGGATTTACAGAATTCTGTATAAAAATGTATTTATTTTTTTTATTTAGGTTGGCAGTGTTCAAATTTTATATCGTTGAATTTACGATTTTAGTTGGTAAGTATAACATTTATAACTAAAGAAGAAAGCGCATTTTAGGAATGTTTTTTTAATCAATAAAAAATAATTAATTCTGCAAAATATACAAAAATTCTCGGTAAGAAATATTGGTAAGAGATCGAGATAAATAAAAACAACACATAACCCACAATCCACACAACAAGGTCTGTTCTATCTCGTACTAAAAATACAAAATATCACTGCAACACTGCACAGTTTAACGGCGGCCATTTTTGTTGTTTACAATTTTTGTGCTCTGTTTATACAGATTAATAATCGTTTTAAACGTTGTGTTTCTTAAAAGAGTCCTTAAAGTGCTAAGAACAACCATTTTACTCCTCTATTGTAAAAAATAAACTTTATTCCATCAGGGCTGTCATAAAACTGTGAAATGTCAATTTTAAGGTTAAATTATAACCCACAAATAAACCTCCAAATTGTCATTCGACAGCCCTGATTGAATAAGGTATATTTATTATAAAAGAGGAGTAAAATGGTTGTCCTTGGCACTTAAAGGCCTCTGTAAGAAACACAACGTTTAAAACAATTATTAAACAGCACAAACCCAAAGCATAAGAATTGTATGTATGTATGGTATTATTCAAGGCGTTTTGTAATTTTAAACATTTCTGTGAAATCGGAATTTCAATTGAGTTTACCGTTTTCGAGATATTTACAAAAAAAAATCTCCTAATTACGTCACTAGGCTATTGACAACGTTGCCAGCTTTTTCTATGGTTGCCAGTGTGTTTAGTTTAAGATTCTTACGATAGATGGCGCCACGTTATAATATTTTAGTTTTAAAACCACTTGATCTATAATTTTAGTTGAGAAGAAGAAGAAGATTTGATTCTTTGACGTTTCTTTTTTTCGGGTTATGTTTTTTTTTAAATTTAGATTATTGAAAATCAATGTTATTGTTATGTTATTTGTAATTGATATTAGATAAGTGATTTATTAATAACGGACTCCAAAGCAGAAGAATCTTGTGGAATGGTTGGTTACATTGAACATTGGAGCTTTTAAACAAATAAAGTAAGTACCTATAATCATATAATTATATTTTGTCGTAAATGCATTTCATTAGTATAATGCTCAGTTCTTTATATTCTTTTAGATATATCTTGGACTCTAAAATATCAAACAGTAATATGATACCTCGTAATAAGGAAGATAGGTACTTAATGAATTTGGTGACCATCTTTCACTCAACTGACAGTGACAGTATTTGTACATAACCTCTTCGGGTATTTTCCGACATAACCGAATGAAATCATTAACAAGACAACTTGACAACAGGGTAATTTTCAACCAATAGAAATCTTAGAATGTTGGTCACACGGCGAGGTTAGTGACGTCATAAAAATTTATATTTTTTGTAAATATCTCGAAAACGGTAAACTCAATTGAAATTCTGATTTCACAGAAATGTTTAATATTACAAAACGCCTTGAATAAAACCATAAAAAGTATAGGTCAGAAAAAATTTAACTACCCCATTCTGTGCAGTGTCGCAGTGATTTTTAGTATTTTTGGCATGAGATAGAACAGACCTTGTCGTGTGGATTGTGACATAACCTATAATCTTGAGCAATCTTCTAGAACCCGTAGTTGCCGACGTTGTAGGCAACCACCGTTACGTGATCCAGCTTTCCGGGCAAGTTTTGAACCCTCTCCAGCCCTCTTTTCCTCCGGATTTTTTTTTCCTGCCCAGAAACCTCCACCATGACGCCGTTACGGTTGTCGAAGTACAGGTCCGGGTCCTCCAAAGTGTGTCTTTTGGCAGAGGTTATGCTCAAGGTGAAACTGACGAGATTTTCGCACAGTTTTTTGGCGGAAGTGCAAGGGGCATCTTTACCGGAAATGCCGTTACGCAGAACGTCCTCTATGAGCAAGAGTTGAAGTTCGTAGCGTTGGATTGGAGTGACTAAAGGCACGCCGTCGCAGCTGCGCAGTATGTGTTTCGGGCTCGGCTGAGACCTTGAGAAAAACGGTTGTCAATGTGATGCTAAAATAGTTGCATCAAGTGACAAATTTTCGATGAATTTCAATCGCAAATAACTTTTTTATTCGATGTCGGATTTAAACGAATATTAAAGAATATTGTAGATAAATTAATGGACAATCGCTCACATTTTAAAAAATTACTAAAAAATAGACGTACGTTTATAATATACAGGTTTAAACAAAAACATGTTTTTTACCATAAGTTTAAGACACTCTGTAGAGTGGCAAAACCGTATATTGTTCTAAATTAAGTTTTAATTATCAAGTCACATCTATTCTTAACAGTTTTGTTTTTGGTTCACCTCGATATGTTAATTTTTGTGGAAAATATGGATTTTTTTAAAAAAACATTGCAATTTCCAATATTTTTCCTGTATGAAGAACTAAGGTTGCTCTGGTCCATCCATAGCCTATGGAGGATGACAGTGACAGTTTTGTTAAATCATCCCATTCTTGGACATGTCATACACGGCTTTCAAAAGCTATCGAATTGTTTTTTGTAAATTAATGTGTTAATTTTGAGGTGTCTTCTTACTTTTAAAAATGTCTCCGACTAATGTTGCCCTTTGTACTTGACGTTTAAAACACTTGCCACGTAATACTGTGACCGTCCATCCTGGATTAAATTAATGGCTCTGGCAACATCAGTCGGAGACATATCCATTTTTTAAAGTAAGAAGACACCTCAAAATTTAAACCTTAATTTGCAAAAAACAATTTGATAGCTTTTGAAAGCTGTATATGACATGCCCAAGTATGGGATGATTCAACAAAACTGTCACTGTCATTCTCCATAGCCTATGGATGAACCATAGCAACCTTAGTTCTTCATACAGAAAAATATTGGAAATTGAAATGTTTTTTTAAAAATCCATATTTTCCACAAAAATGAATATATCGAGGTGAACCAAAAACAAAACTGTTAAGAATAGATGTGACTTGATAAATAAAACATATATACGGTTTTACCACTCAACAGAGTGTTAAACTTATGGTAAAAAACATATTTTTGTTTAAACCTGTATATTATAAACGTACGTCTATTTTTTAGTAATTTTTTAAAATGTGAGCGATTGTCCATTAATTAATCTACAATATTCTTTAATATTCGTTTAAATCCGACATCAAATAAAAAAGTTATTTGTGATTGAAATACATCGAAAATTTGTGTGGATCGATTATTTTGCCTGTGAGTGTATTATAAAATAATACAAAAATGTATAACAAAGCGCCAGATATTTTGATAGAAAACTTGAATGAAAGTCATAAAAAACTAGAAAATTTTCAAAAAATTTGAATTTTTTAGGCCCATAATGAAAGTGGGATTCAAATATCTTCGATTTTTTAAGCCACTTTTTAGTATTTTTTAAGTAGTAGTAGAAGTATTCTTATACAAAATTTCATAAAGTTTAGATTTGGAATTTTTTTACTTATTATGCGTTAATTTTGACGCGCAGTGTAAATTTTTTTCAAAAACTACATATCAAAACGAAAAAACAGCCACCGGAAAAATGAGGTTACAATAATTTAAGCAGGAGTTTCTGAAAATTACCGTATCGTTTTTTTTGCGATTTTCAAAAATTCATATCTTCAGGGTTTAGGAAAATTAAGGTCTCAAAATACGTACAAAAACATATCAAAAATTTAACTGAATCAAAAAATACAATTTTTAAAATTTAGGATTTGATATGGAATGACCCATATACAGGGATGGTAATGTGCTCTTAGGCCGTTTAATAAATAAAGATTAAATAAGAGTGGTGGAGTGAAAGGGGAAGTAAAACATTGGCGGACGTTTAATTATTTTGATTTAATCGTTTTAAAATCTTGTACTGCACGCTTATGGCAGAGGGGAATTAAGTATTTTGTTATCCTATTCGTTCAACAATGGTTGTTTGTCTCTCTTATTTATACGTTTATCTCACTAATTCGTACGTTTCATATAGCAAGCATCTTTGTTTATTAAACGACCTAAGAGCCCATTACCATCCCTGTATAGATTAGGGTGTTTAAAAAAGAGCTCACTCACCTAAAATCCACTGACGTCTTTGACCTCAAAAACTTGTACGCCCCGCCCATCCCCTCACTCTTCCCCCTCTCCGTCGCAGTCTTTTTACTAACCTCCCCCCTACCCCCGCCGCTAACCCTACCCTGACTCCCCAGCGTTGCCGATTGCTCCTTAACCTGACTAGATTGCTGCCTTCTCAAGCTGTAAGCCTTGTTATCCAAGACTACGGGTTTTTTGGCGTCCAAACTGTTAGTTTTACCATCGTCGACAGCGTTGTCTTGCACGAACTGAGCTATCAGAGGGTTGTTAGCGTCGAAGTGCGTCTCGAGCGGCAACGTCGCGTTCGAAGAAGCGGCAACGCTGTTGGATTCCACGGTCGACGTGGATTTGATCGAGAGTGTGTTGCTTTTGATCGAAGCTCGTTCGGCGGAATTCCGCGAGATGTCGTCGCGGTTTTTGGAGCGACGCGGGGGTTTTACGGGGGGTTTGGCGAACTGAGGGGGGGTAGAGGGTTGCTGTTTGGGCGGCGACGTTGCCGTCGGTGTTGCGATCGCGTCGGGCGGTGTTGGTTTTTGTTCCATCTGCAAGTAGCGGTAGTTTTTGTCTCAGAACTTCCAAACCATTGAGTTTAACAAAATTTACTTAATATGTTTTTTGAAGGAAATTTAATGCTCTACAAAAAAGGTCCTGATGAAATTTCCCGCCAGATGAACCGTTTCCTTACAATCGCGCCTTAAAAATCGGTATAGTTTTACAATTTGATCTTTTAACTTTGGAATTCTGTAACTCGTGTAAAAATCACGACCCGAAAAAAACCGATAAATATTCTTATGGGAAATCAAATGCTCTACAAAAAAAGTCTCTCAACATTTTTGGTTACATTCACTCAATCAAAAGTTATTCAAGGTTAAAGTTGAAGTCAAAACGAAATTCTGTAACTTCCAACTTTAACCTTGAATAACTTTTGATGGAGTGAATTTAGCCAAAAATGTTAGGAGACTTTTTTGTAGAGCATTTGATTTTCCATAAGAATATTTTCCTGGTACTGATTTTTACAAGAAACACCCGCTTTCAGGAAAATAAAGATCAAATTTTTTTTTGCTTAAATTGACTTTTGGTTGGATTTTTATAAATGTTTAGAGTTTTGTTTACTTACATTTAGGACAGGCAGTGAACTTTTTAATTTTTTTACGTTTTTTTCAGAAAAATGTGTTTAGCTAGCTTTATATTTCTCCACTGTGTTACCAATTTGAAACCCAAAATTTAATTCAATAAAAAAAGTTGTTATAAAAATAATTTGAAATAAAATTTACTTAGTTCACAAACTTTTGACTCCAATTTTATTTTTTATTAAAAATTATATGCCTTTTTTAAATATTTATGTTAGTTAAGTTACTTTTTAAAAGACACCATTCCGATTCTTTGTTAAAAAAACAATACCATTAATATTTTTTTTTAGTCACTGTATTAGTGAGTTAAACTCTAATTTATAAACAGGTATTACCAAGTGATGGTAAAATCATTTTAAGGATTTTTTTTAACAAAAACTAAAAAAAGTAACGAAATAGACATTGGTATCACAACGGACTGGCGTACACAAAGGACTTATCAGATAACGTAAAAAAGAAACTATATACGGTGGTACGATTTTAGAGTAATGCATTATTATTATTATTATTATTAAACAAAATCCCTTGTAGTAGTGCTCACTTGAAGAATTCTAAATTATAGACACCCTTTTTCTGTGACTATAAGCTGGTGTCTTTTAGTACTTGTATATTGCGTGGAATTTTCCCTTGGTTGTAATCTATATCATGAGTTGTAATCAAAAATAATTTTAAATTGGTTTATCATAAACTACTTTTAATAAAAGCGACGGTAAATATCCACTTTGTTGTCGAAAAATTCTATTGCGTTACCCTAAATTCCATTGCGTTACCATAAGGTAACGTAATGGACAAAGTTTTGTGAAACCATATTTAAAAAATAATAATAAAACATTACAGTCATTAATTACTCTCAATGAGCAATGTGCCCTAAAATAAACATAAACATGAAAAATAGTATTTTTTCTTTCCTTATTTTTATTTTTTTTTTGAGTAACTTAGCGGACAAACAATTATTACATTCGCGTTACCCGCACCTGTTTCAACCGATATCTTCTTCCTGATTGAATAAATAAATTCAGCTGGGTAATGTGTACGTCCGAACATCATTTGTTAATCACGTGAGTGCCAAAAAAGTTGCCATATATATGTTTTTTTAAATATTCTATCGGTAACGCGACGGACGTAACGCAACGGAATAAATGTCTGGGACATGAGTCAAATTAAAAAAAAGTAGATTAATATTAATTAATTTATATATAAATTGTTTACTGTATTAACTAAGGATGTTATGGATTGCTATAAAGCAACACAAAGTTCTGGTTATTCAATATTAAAAAAAACATGTATGTAAGTTTCAAAATTAAAAAAAAATTATTCTGAAATAACTAAACAAACATTTTCTGAAAGAGTTTACTAAGGGCTTGTTAGGCTTTCACTTGGTTTTTAAATCAATCAAATTGTAAAACTATACCAATTTTTAAGGCGTGATTGTAAGGAAACGGTTCATCTGACGGAAAATTTCATTGGGACCTTTTTTGTAGAGCTTTCAATTCTCTTCAAAAAGTATTCCCAAGTCAATTTTGTTAAACTCAATGGTTTAAGAGTTCTGAGACAAAAACTCGCTCAGGAAAAAAATATATAAAATTTTTGGCCCAGGCTTCTACTCTTACCTGTGTCGCTGGCGGGTTACTTCTGGGCGGTTTGACTTGTCCCTGTCGTTTCGGTTTTGGCGGTTCCGGCGTTGCCGCGTTTGTAGAAAATTTACACACGTTCGGGTCGAAATTGTCAGTCAAACCATCACTGGCAACCATGACTATATCGCCTTTAGACAACGTGGTAATAGAAAGAGTTAGATTGCTTAGTTCTGGATTTATACCGTCGACAGGACCAAGAGCTCCCAAAGCGTCTCTCATGTCTCTGTTACAATTTATGTCGTGAGATCCTAAATAAATAAAAATATTTCGACATGTTTTACTACACGACTAATAAGTGATTTCTTACCTTTCGTTAGTTCTCTAACGCCGTATTTTTGCGAATAAACGTACGCTAAAGTGTCGCCTACATTGCAAACGCAACAAACGTAACGCGTGGCGTCTTCCTGCGAACCCAGCACCATCTTTTGACGCAACGGAAGAACTATGGCGACCGTCAAAGTGGTTAACATACCTGATAAAATCAACACGTTAAGCCTGAATTATAGATTGCCTTCCTTCCTCCCGTAGAAGATGAACATTACGTAATTGTCACCATTAACATTTCCCGTGTAGGAATTTTTAATACTTTGTGATAATATTTTGCAACTATAGTAATAAAAAAAATCAAAGAATAAAATATTTTCTTAACAAAATCATATCTTGAAGTTATTTTAATATTTTAAAGTATCAATAATTGTTAAGTTTAATTAAAATTAATAACGGGCAATGTTAATGGTGACAATTACGTCAAAAATGTTTATTTAAATCGTAGTGCCATTTATAGATTCCCGTACCGTAGAAGTTTTATCTTTCACCGTAAAGGTCTTTGACATGACCAATCACAGTGCTTGTTATGGACATGCGCTGTAGGGTGACAGCGCGTAGGCACAAAATATTTAAAATACATGATTGTTTAGTATTATTTAAGATAGGTGTTCAGTTTATTAAATAATTTGTGTCTCTAAATAGGATATTTAGATATTAGACCAGGGTCGATAATTTTTGAAACAAAAAAAAATTACAGTAGAATGAAACCCATTGGAAAAGGAGGAGAATATAATAAAAAAGAAAGAAAAAATAAATTACGGGCGATCTGACTTCGGGAAGTGGGAGGGGGGGGGGGCTTTAAGGGTAAAAAATGGTTTATCTCGATTTCCGGCAAAAATACAAGTCCTATGGAAAAAAGTTAAATGCCAAAGTTGTAGGTAATAAAAAGATCTACAACTTTTGTATTTACAATTTTTTCACATAACCTCAAAATTTATGTGAAAAATTCAAATAACCAATTTTTTGGTTTTTTATTTTTATCTTTATCAAAAAAAAAAATTTTTTCCACGAAATTTGGTGAAAACTTACCTTTTTATGTCCCAAATACACTGTAATTTATTTGATTTGAAATATTTATTATTTCGCCTTATTTTGACTTAATATCAAAAAAGAACCCTAATTTTCAATCGAAAATTCTCGCGTCAAAATATCAGCTTTTTTCAAAAAGTCGGTGTGCTTTTTGTTCGATGAACTCTCTACTTTCTGATGGTGTAAAAAAAATATACATTACTATGGTAAATGTTCTCAGAAAATACAAAAAATATTATAATGAATAACGTAATCAGAATGAAGTATCTAAATTCAATAGTATGATTTACATGTATTTTTATATTTTATGAGATTTTCTGACATAAATGTTATTAGAATTTAATAAATAAACTTTTTAACTAAAAAAAATTGCAACAATCACATTTTTTTGATGAAATTGTACATAATGATTAAAATAAATTTTCGAATTCGAGCTTTTTTCGTTTTTCATTATAATATTTTTTGCATTTTCTGAGAACATTTACCATAGTAATGAATATTTTTTTTACACCATGAGAAAGTAGAGATTTCAACAAACAAAAAGCACACCGACTTTTTGAAAAAAGCTGATATTTTGACGCGAGAATTTTCGATTGAAAATTAGGGTGTTTTTTTGATATTAAGTCAAAATAAGGTGAAATAATAAATATTTCAAATCAAATAAATTACAGTGTATTTGGGACATAAAAAGGCAAGTTTTCACCAAATTTCGTGGAAAAAAATTTTTTTTTTAAAAAGATAAAAATAAAAAACCAAAAACTTGGTTATTTGAATTTTTCACATAAATTTTGAGGTTATGTGAAAAAATTGTAAATACAAAAGTTGTAGATCTTTTTATTACCTACAACTTTGCCATTTAACTTTTTTCCATAGGACTTGTATTTTTGCCGGAAATCGAGATAAACCATTTTTTACCCTTAAACCCCCCCCCCCCCCCTCCCACTTCCCGAAGTCAGATCGCCCGTAATTTATTTTTTCTTTCTTTTTTATTATATTCTCCTCCTTTTCCAATGGGTTTCATCCTACTGTAATTTTTTTTCACTTTTTACCATTTTTAAAGGCTTCGGCACTGGTCTATATTGTTTATGATCAATGTCTTTCATTTTTAGAAACGTTGCTTTGTAAAACCCTGTAGTTTCCCGGTCTTGGTAAAGTGGGCGAGTCTTCCAACGTCTTGTTCGATGTTTTTTTTTTCATTATACTGCCCTACTGTGGAGAAAGGCAGTAACTACAAATGCGTTTTCTTGTGCTATGATAAAGCTATGGACATTTTGTATCTTAATTCAACAAAGAAATGCTTTTTATAAAAATGTAGTTTATGCTAATTTCCCACAAATTTCTTGTTTAGCAGTTACTGCCTTTCTCCATAGTTGGGCAGTATACAAAAAGCTGCCTGGGCAATTAAAATTGTGATCACTGCACTAATATATAAATGTTTATCTTTCATATTCACACGCAATGGGTAAAACGCAGAATATAAACAAAAACAAATGTCAACCATTTTAGGTGTCATCGCGCATGGTTACGGAATTTTACACGGAAATCTATAAATTGACTTTTTAGACGCACAAATCGTACGGGCACGACTACGGGAGGAAGGAAGGAAGGCAATCTATAATTCAGGCTTAAGCCTTACCTTTGTTCTCCAAAATTAGATCGTGGGCGCAATTGAAAGCCCTCAATAGACACACGAAAACCTCTCTGGTATTTTTGATGAGATTCTCATTTCTCGCTATATCAGCATTTAGACTATTGGGAGCTGAATCTTCGGTTTTTACGGTCAAACTTTCGAAAGGTTTGGTATCGTTGAAAATGGTTTTGTCTAGGTAATGCAGACAACCGTGTACCGCCGATTTGGCAGCAATGCAAGCTTTTTCACCTGCGAACATGAGTTTCAAGAATTGTTATTTTGCTGCAAGAATGTACTATGCTCCACACCTCAAAGTCCCACCACGTGACCACGTACGGAACGCAGTCTTTTGAAAATTTGGCATTTAAGGCTTTTCAGGTTATGTATCTGTCAAAGTATAGTCAACGAAAGAAATAATATTTATAGTGTTACCGCTTATGTTCAAGCGTTAAAAGTTAATAAATCTTTATAGTATCACAATAACAATGGTTGGTTTAAGAATTAAGTAATATAAATACTGCATTTAATGAAATTACAAAGTGTAAGGTGCAATATAAGTGATATTTTTGTGCATTGGGCCTACATTTCTCCATAAAATAGTTTTAACTAAACAGCATTTATTAAAAAAAATCTAACTTCTCTATTATGAAACAATAATATCTGTATCAAACGTAGGTTAATGTATTAGAACAAAAAATATCACCTAATTTTGTATTTTAAGGTTAGAAAAATCTATTTTGACCAAAATAAATAAGTGGATTATTTGAAAGAGTGTGTCATATGGTCATAAATAAATATAGGTATACTAAATAATTGTTGAATATGGTTCAAATTAAATTAAGCTTTTATACTTCTAATTCCAAAACTTGTGCATACCTCTCGGCATACCTACTTTAAGTTAGATTATAAGAAAACAAACAATTTTTAGAGATACTTGCAATGTGAAAATATTTAATACTCCCATGACATGTGATTTATTAAAATTTTTAAAGTTATAATGATTTTTCGATGTAGATCAAGTTCAGTCAAAGCTTTTTAACTATTTGTATTGACAAAACTTTATGTAGGTACACTTTAAGCTGGATAAGAAAAACGACCACATTTTTAAATACCATATTATACAGTCTTTTAAATAATCCAAAACACTTATTTATTTTGGTCAAAATAAATTTTTCTAACCTTAAAATTACAAAATTAGATGATATTTTTGTTATAATATATTAACCTACCTTTAAAACAGATATTCTTATTCCATAATAGAGAAGCTAGATTTTTTTAAATAAATGCTGTTTAGTTAAAATTATTTTACGGAGAAAACCAGATATTTGGACCAAATGCACAAAAATATTACTTATTTGGCACCATACACTTTAGAATTTCATTAAATGCAGTATTTATATTCTTAAATTCTTAAACCATCCATTGTTAATGTAATGTTATAAAGATTTATACATTTTTAACGCCATAATATTATTTTTTTCGTTGACTATACTTTGACAGATACATAACCTGAAAAGCCTTAAATGCCAAATTTTCAAAAGACTGCGTTCCGTACGTGGTCACGTGGTGGGACTTTGAGGTGTGGAGCATAGTACATTTGTGGTATTTATATTGTTTTTATTACGTTATTCACTTAGTAGATCAAAAAGGTTACTATGTAGGTAAAATAACGAACTTGGTAGTAAATATGTAGTTATTTAAACTTAAAATGCTGCTTGGGCTGCTCAATGAAAGAGTTTGAAATATAAGTGGCTTAATTGTATAGTTACAGTTTAGTGGATGTTTCAATACTGGTCAAATTGAACTCAAGAGATAATAAAAAGTTAGAGAAGAAGAAGTTTTTGCATTTTCACACCACAACAACAGAATAAACGTTTGTCGAAATAAAAGACGTAACCAACAATAAAACACATCAAGATGAAAACAACAATGTTAAAAGTATTTTAAACACCCTGTGTATTTCATGTACTCACCCCAATTTACACCGTCAGCAACCGCCAGGATGGCGGAATCATTTCTAGCGATAATACCGAAACAATCGGCTATCGGGTCGCCATTTTTGTTTTTGGTGACCTGATTTCTGTCGTATAGCGAATCTGACAGTCCGTATATGTGGTCGGATTTTTTGTTCCATTCCGTTGGCAAGCGTGAATCGTTGATAACAATCGCGGGCACGTTGGAGATTTCGCTTGTTTCTTCAGCTAAAAGAGAGGTTAGGATGAGAATCTGATTGGTTAGCGAAATGTGAAGCACAATGAATGCTGGGATGAATATAAGCTAAAGAAGTATACATCATTTTGTTCAATTGAGCAGCTAAATCGCGCACGTTATTTGTGTTTTACGTTGCAAGGAAAAAACTAAAAAACTGGTTTAGTACTCGATTTCGATTGATTATTCCTTATATCATTGATTAAGAAACTCAACGCTTAAATGCTTGTACAGTTACGTTAGTGTGTGTATTTTATCAAAGGGATCATGGTGAATTATTGCGGTTTTAATTGTAAACAAAATTCAAGAACTAAATCGTTGCATTTTCATGTTTTGCCAAAGCATCCAATTCGGTAAGCACATTTGTTGGGGCAGAATTAACTGATGATAACTTTACCTAATATAATTTATATTTAAGTTTGGACATTTTTAAGACATTGGTAAAAGATAATTTTTGCGCAAACATAACCTTAAAATCAACCATTTTTATGTTTGAGTTCTCTAAAAAACGCCTACAACTGCATTTTAAACAACAAAATATACCTACGAATTCATGGCAACATAATATTATATATAATACATAATATAACGGTATTTTACCGTTGAGTGGAGACTTTCTTAATCAACGCTTTTAATAATGCTAAATGCTGTTTAAATTTAGACGACTTATTTGTTTGACGATTTTTACTGAATTGAAATGTTTACACTTTTCACGTTAATCACTACTCAAATGTGTATTTATTGTATCTAATAGGTACAATTTATATTTACAGAGACTGTATGCAATTTATTTCTTCATTCGGATTAACACTGTTTATTGGAAACCCGGTGAAAACTCAACCCAGGATTTCCTCTCGAAATACACCCAACAACACAACAAATCGAGCCACGGTTTTTTTCCGATATTTTTTAACATTTTCCGGCTTTATTCTCAAAAACACTCGTTTGTAACATAAGCGTTTGACAGCTGATACTAGCGATACTTCTTAAGCGTTAGTGCCTTTTTTTTTTTTTTTTTTTAAATCATTAAAATTTTTACTGGTAACATTTGTGTCATAATTGACACAACAAAACTGTTGTGGTTTTTTTGCAATATTGACATAAAATACAGGGTGTTAGGTAATTAATGTAATATATTAAAAGTTTTTTATATTTTTTGTGATACGCCACTGGTTACACACTTGTGTTCTGTGAGTACATACAGTTAATTTTTTTTTATCTGGACTCTTGTTTTTTTGTTAGGTTGGTGGCTTATGCCAGTATTTTTACTATTTAAAAATGTCACTTCTGCTAAAGAATTTAATAATATTTATTATTGATAATTTACTTGTCAATTATAAATAAAAAAATAATTATGCCAAAAATAATAGCAACGAATTCGAATGTAAAAGCCCTTTTGAGGGCAAAACTTCATTTTGATGAAATTATGCCAAATGCCACAAAGGAAGAAAAAGTACATCGCCTTATGGACATTTTTGGAGTAAAAAAGTAACGAATTTGGTTTTATAAATATTACATCACACATTATTTTCACATTATTTACCATTGGACAACATTTACGTTCACAAAAAATTTTATTTTCTTTTGTATAAATTCTTTTCAAAGCGAAGATTATTATCCGCTAGGAATACTTTCTCTTCTGTGCCGTAAAGCAACCTATATTTAACTACTTTTTTTATATGATTTTACTCATCCAAGCACCACCAAAGCCAAATTAATTGCATTTTTAACTACGAATTTCGACAACTCAACTTGACAACTGCACAATAAAATTTTGTAGTTATTATTGTGCATTTTTCTACTTAAAATTTTTCAATTAAATTTAATATAGGGTCGTTTTGAGGGGTGGTGAATCCAGTGCCGTGCTTAGATTTTGTTTAAAAAAATCGCCAATATAAATTCTTAAAAATTTACTCTTAAAATCTGACATGGTAGGCCTTGTATTTTGTACAAATATGACGTTTTTTCCTCAAAAAATACAGTTTATCAAGATCTACAATCCGGTTAAAATCGCATAATAAATAAAGATTTTACAGGGTTGAGTCGCAAACAAATGGGTCACACTGTATATATCTATAATTTTTGTGTTAAATATTTTCAACAAAAATATCCACCAATAAGTACCTATTTATAAAAAGGTTTCTTTTTAAGTTTTTATTTTCAAAACGTCTTTAGAAAATAACACAAATTAAATTCAATTTTTAAACCCTAATTACTCAAAATGGTGCGTAATTTTTGGAAACTTTAATCGAAATTACATTATTTGATTTTTAATAAAATAATAAATAACAAATATGTATATAATTAAGAAATTCGTCACCCTTAACGTAATATGTTTATCGCGCAGGTCTGACTCACCCATTTTTTTGGTAATAAGAAATAATTATAATCCCTTCAACGTAATCAAACGTTCAGTTTTAATTTGGCTTTTATACGAAGAACATGCTCATTTATTACTTTTATCTACATCAACAAATTGCTAGGTATTATTAGAATTCTAACGCATCTATTAGGTCAAATAATACTACGTATATTTTTGATATTTAAAAAAATAAAGAACATAAAATTTGCAGTCCTTAACACGTTCGCTGCTGACGGCGTCTAAAGACGGCCACCGCTTCTTAAGTGGGAGGCGAACGGCGCCTTTTGACGTCCACTAAAATATCGCTTATTATCCTTTAGTAATCCTTTAGACATAGACGTCTTCCGCCTCTGGATAAATTTTTTTAGCAGGTGGCTGACGACGTCTTAAGACGTCCTAGCCCTGAGTTTTTTTTATAAAATAAATGTGTTTTAAACTTTTCTTGTTTTCAAACTGTTTAATATTTCCCAAACTATTTCAGTTTCTGGGGGTCGATTGCCCATACCAGTCAGCAGCGAAAGTGTTAAATGGTCTAATTGTATTTTTTTTCTAGGACCAACATGTTAAAGCCATAGTTATTAAGCCAATGAATATTAAGAAATAAGACAACCAATATATAAGGATAATGGGATTTAACCAGAACTCATCAATAAATTTGGCAAGTACCAATTTATTACTTTTAAATTTTTGGACTAAAATAAAAGTAGGTACCTAGGTATTTATTCTCTAATTTTTATGTTTTTTTAACTAAATTTCTTCAAACTTGCTTAGTCTACTTTTATTTATAAAATTTTATTTCAATGTTTTTTCATGGATAACTTGACAGAATAAAATTTTGTAGTTATTATTGTGCATTTTTCTACTCAAAATTTTTCAATAAAATTTAATGTAGGGTCGATTTGAGGGGTGGTGAATCCAGTGCCGTGCTTAGATTTTGTTCAAAAAATCGCTAATATGAATTCTTAAAAATTTACTCCCAAAAACTGACATAGTAGGCCTTGTATTTTGTACAAATATGGCGTTTTTTGCTCAAAAAATACAGTTTATCAAGATCTACACTTTAAAACAAATCCGGTTAAAGTCGCACAATAAATAAAGATTTTACAGGGGTGAGTCGCAAACAAATGGGTCACACTGTATATATCTATAATTTTTGTGTTAAATATTCTCAACAAAAATATCAACCATGGTTGCAATAAGTATAAAAAGTATACGTATAAAAATGATTCTTATTTAAGTTTTTATTTTCAAAACGTCTTTAGAAAATAACACAAATTAAATTAAATTAGATTATTTGAGTACTAATAAAATAATAAATAACAAATATATCTATAATTAAAATTTGTCACCCTAAACGTAATATATATTACATATGTTTATCGCGCAAGTCTGACTCACCCTTTTTTTGTTTTTGCTGATAAAAATAATTATAATCCCTACAACGTAATCAACCATTTAGTTGTAATTTGGCTTTGATACGACAAACATGCTCATTTATTACTTTGATCTACATCTATAGATGTATTTGTATACAAATTGCTAGGTACCTACCTATATACGTATTATTAGAATTCTAACGCATCTATTATTTCAAATATTACTACGATTTTTTTGATATTTAAAAAAATAAAAACATAAAAGTTGCAGCTCTTAAATCGTCTAATTGTATTTTTTTCTAGGATCAACATGTTATAGCATTAACCCAAGACAATCATATAAGGATAATACGATTTAACCAGAACTCATCAAGGAATACCTACCAATTAATTATTTACCAATGGATAATAAGAAATAAGACAACCATATAAGGATAATACGATTTAACCAGAACTCATCAAGGAATTTGGCAAGTACCTACCAATTAATTATTTTTAATTTTTTAGTTTTTATTATCGAAATTTCTTTAAATATCTTTTCGTTGGGTCAAATATTGTTTAAGTTGGGGATGGAACTAATTCTTTATTTAAAGATCAGTTCTTTTAGTTCGTTTTTGTTAGGGGTCGTAGGTCAAAATTTTAGGATTCTTTTTGTCAGGTCAAATCTTGTTTAAGTTGGTTAAGTTGGAAATGAAACTTATTCTTTACTTAAAGATTATTTCTTTTTTTTTAAGGAGTCGTGCTTCAAAATTTATTTTAGATTTTTTTATCAGGTTAAATTGTGTTTATTGGGATATGGATGTGGAACTTATTCTTTTTTAAATATCACTTCTTTTTTTTGTCAGGGGTCCTAAATCAAAACCTTTTTAGATTCCTTTTGTTAGGGCAAATCTTGTTTAAGTTGAAGATGAAACTAATTCTTTATTTAAAGATAATTTCTTTTAGTTCGTTTTTGTTAGGGGTCGTTAGTCAAATTTTCATTAGTTTCTTTAAGTTGGATATGGAACTTATTCTTTTTTAAAGATCAGTTTTTTTTTGTTAGGGGTCGTAAGTCAAAACTTTTTTATATTCTTTTTGTTAGGGTAATTTTTTTGACTTTTAGTTTTTATTATCGAAATTTCTTTAAATATCTTTTCGTCGGTTCAAATATTGTTTAAGTTTGAGATGGAACTAATTCTTTATTTAAAGATCAGTTCTTTTAGTTCGTTTTTGTTAGGGATCGTAGGGACTTATAAGTCAAAATTTTGTGATTCTT